CACGTGTTATGACTCCACCTTCCCGAATTCACATGACATACGTCATTGAGGCTATTCACACCAGGAGGGGTAACTTCTCACTTCTTAGAGTGAACCCCTTTAGACTCACTATATTCCGGTATCATCGAAGCTTCCAAGGAGTCCGATATCTCTAGCACCTACTTTCCAGCGACTTTTTCATCCCACCACGAGCCCACGTATTCGGGCTGCTTCCTCGCGAGAGCGAACTTGGTGTTGTCTTCTTGAGTTGTTTGTTAATTAGTCGCTAAATCTATACAGGTACGCATACTGGTTATATACTCGCGATGAGTGCAAATCGTTACTGCGAAGACGACGCGCTCCTATGTTACATCAATTATCCAAGGGTGGGAGACTATTGCAGATTAAATAGAGATCTACCAAACACTATGGTTGAATTTCGTTGGCACTCTAGGCCAACAAAAAGTATTGCTCTCTATATTCGAGGCAACGAAGTTGCAATATCACGTCGCAAAACTACGAGTACCTCTTCAAGGCATAGAACCTAGCGCGCAAAAGCCTCTGAAACGCAAATTTGTGGCTACAGAAGAGCAAAGAAAGAAGAGGCGCTAGGGTAACACATACTGGAAGGCGAGAGACGCTTCTCGGGGCTCTTTTTGAAGAACTACCTACCAAAGCACTTGCGGCACATCGGCAGATTAAAGTCCAATTCGGAGCAGAGAGCGTTAAAACTGGTCACCATTGTTGTTATCGTCTTCAAACAATAACCCGTTCATATTCATACACTCGCCAATCCACATATCCTTGACTTGGGAGACGAAATAGTCTATATGTTGCTATTACCGTGGGTGGCGAGCAGGCAAAGAAGGATTTGATACTGGGTGTGGGATATGATCTGGATATATACGGCTGCAGGTTGCGGGCCTGCCACGGTCCTGGAAGTTTACCTGGGCCCTACAGTTTCAATTTAGCTATCTACAATGGGCAGCGCACCCCGCATATATAAGCAAAATTAATCATTGTAACAGATACCAGTAAGATGAGGTCAAAACGGGTTGGTAAGCAGGGCTATATTGTTAAAACCTGTTAGAGCCCTTACAGATCACGTAGAGGTTTGCTAGATTAGGTGTTGTAAACGTAAACGTAGTAAATTGTATTGTATAAAGAACTAGAAAGTGTAGGAAACCTGTAGGAATAGGAATAATGTAGTTGTTCGGATGCGTTAAATCACATTAAACCAGATTCCCCCACACTACGACCACGTGACCATAACCATATCTATCCAACAAAACCTCCTCGTGGTTTCTCATCTATTCTTCCTAACAATTTGCTTATCCCTCCAGTCTAGCCTTCACAGCCTTGAGATAATTGTCGTGCATTCCAGGCTCCTCCAAGTCTCTCGTCTCCTCCTCCTTAGCATCCGGCTTGCAGAAATTGACCATAGTCCTGACAAACTTTGTCGCATTATCACCAGCAGCAGTCAAGTTGTAAGTGATGACAATCTCGTTCAGTGGACCGTGCGTGAAATCTGCTGGAAAGATGATCTCGAAGAATTCGTTCTTCACAACCTTGCGGACTTCCCACTCGCAGTTGAAGTTGAGACCACGTGCCTCCACAACTTCAACGAATTTCAGCCCGGGAACTGCGGTTGAGTTGATGCCAGATGGACCAAGGATATCCTTCGTAGCAGGATGAATTCCGGTCCAGTTTGCAACCGTGGTGATAAAGTTGTAGACCTCAGAGATAGGTTTCTGAATGATAGTCTCGGAACGGATTTTGTAAACCGACATATTGGTGATATGCTTGAATTAACGATTTGATGGAAAGGTTGCCTTTGAGCTGGTGTTTATTGCAGATGCCTGATGAAGAAAATTCAACAGGCTTTATTCAGGTCTATATATACTCGCTCAGCGTTATGAGACACAGTTGATGCGTCACATTTGACGAATTAAAACGACATCCGAGGAGGTCCGAAACACTCCGTCGCGGTTCATCAGTGCAACGCCGCATTTCCGCAACTCGGCGTTGGTACGCGTGTGCCTCTAATATGTCTCATACAAAGGACAATTCTTGTTGACTAATGCTGCCAGAGACTGCTATCAAATTCCATGTCATCTAAATGATGATGATCAGCATAATTCATGCATCATCAAACGTATTCCATACCCCATAGTATCGAATCGTATACCTGTAAGGGTGATAGGTCCATGGCGAAGTCTATTGCAGTATTAGACAATGTGCTATTATGATCGTAGGCGGGAAACAGTCTGTGATAATAATGGTCAGCCGTACGGCAATACACAGCCGGAGTTCTGCTCACTGTTCTTGGATTGCGGGCTTCAATGCGGTCCTTGATATGTCGTCGTCATCCGCACCGACTAAAACATTCCTGCCCGCACTCACTTCTTCCGTTCCACGATTCTGCTGAATAGTGCTTCCGTCATTGACACTAGCAATCGAGGAGTGTGATGCCGTACGGGTGTCATCGTAAATCTTTTGTAACGCCTTCAACGCCTTCAAATGCGATTTTGACAGCTCAGTCTTGGACAATTTATCCCCCTCATCCATTGAAAGCACGGAAAGTATCTCAATCAAGCTTCCTAAAAGTCTTCGGACTCTGGGGTTTGCATTAGTCTCCCCCAGAATACCAAGCAGAAGGGCCGAGCTTAGCCCGTGGTGTACAAAAGCCCATGTTCGCGTTGCCACAATGCTTAGTGTATGCATGTCTAAGAACGCCTGTACACTTTCAATGAGATTCTGCTTGCACTTTGATGCAACCAGCTCTTTTTCCGGAGACTCATCAGCGCTTCGACTGAGGGCAGGGCGACACAGAACTGAAAGTACAAAAGTGATATGCAATCGTAACGTGAAAAACTCCAAATGTTGTTGGATTGTCCGGCACTTCTCTTTGGCTTGCAACTGTGGCTCCGCTCGGGAAAGAATGGTATCAGCTTTATCAACCTCATCAAGGATCTGCTTGAAATCGACGCTGACTAGAGAGAGATTCCTCTTTGTGAGTTCAAGACCGAGATGAGATACGTGATAAATTGTCTCTTCCAAAGAGTACCCATCCTCGAACGCGGTGGGACGCAAGGGCATCCGACAGTCCATGAGTGTAGTAATTGTAGGGCGATCGAAGCACAGTGAGAGCAGCGTATCTTGCATTACTGCACGCCACCTACATAATACTATTAGCTATAGTAAGAAGGGATAAGGTAATCACCCACCATATTTTTCTCTTCAGAATTGAGGTTTTGTCATCATATTCAGCTCCTGCATTCTCCTTATGTAGGCCTTTACTTTGCGCCAATCTCACAGTTGTACCTAGAAGTACCCATGCAGCTTCAGATTGCATACTGTTTTGTAAGACATTGCCAATCAAGAGAAGCGCCTGTATGCTCTGAGATGTCGCGTGAAGCAGATAATTCCCTAAGCGTATACACTGAAAAGCTCTGTTGACTACGGGTTTCGAGTCAGTACATGGCGGCGAGTAGAAGGTTTATGCAATTCTGGGAATAAACGGGTACAGCACAGGAGATTTGCACACACCATGGATCTTTGCGCGAGCTTCCCTCTCCCGAGTTGGCCTGTCCGAAAACTGATAACCAGACGCCAGAACGGCGTACAATAAGCTCAGCCAACTTATGGGAACCTTTTCAAGCATTAAAATTGCATTCGCCTCATTCTCTCTGCTAGCATTACGCTTTTGAAGAAATATGCAGAGATCAGATTCAAAGTCCTCAATGCTGACTATAATGCTGTTCACCAGATGAGCGATATTTCGGTATGATTGAAATACCCTAGATAATTGTCAGTACTGGGTATCGTATCAGTATGAAGACTGACGCCATAATCTCCCTGTCATCTGGCAATGAGTTTCGAAGCTCGTGCTCCAAGGATTTTGCAGTACCAACCTCATGGAAAGGATATTCTGCTGTAGAGCTGTGAAGTCCAAGCATCAATGAAACGTCCTGCTCCAGAACATCGTTTTCCGTAGTGGATAATCTGTTTGGTGACTCGGTCGAGAAGAATGTCGGCAGAGAATTACTGCCCAGATAGGCGGATGAGGTCGGTCGTTGAGATAGACCTTCTCCTTGATCAACCATTGATGGAGATTGTGGTATAACACTAGACCTAGGTGTAGGTATTCGAGTAGACGCCACACTTTCCTGACGTGGAGGTGTCGCAGCAGGACCAAGAGTAGAAGCTGCGTCCGAGCTGCATCTGCGTTTTCGGGGAAGTGATTGTAGAGAGCCCACCCCGGCGGATCTTACACCATCCACTTGGCTGCTTGTCACATTATACACACACAGCTCACTAAGATCTCTCTTTGAGCAGTTGTTACACGGTTGATGGTTATCGCATCGCACTTTGCGCTTGCGGCAAGGATAGCAAGACTTGACCTTACCCGCCTGCTTTTTCTGTTGCAAAAGATTATCCAGGTTACCAGCGTGCAAGATGGACATCTCGCTCATCGTACGTAGAGTTGCTGAATCGTTGATCACCTCTAATGACTAGAGTTGGGCGTGCAGAGAGGGCATTGTCGTCGTCAGAAAGAGGCTCAACTCGCTTAGTGTTGGTTGTGATTCCCAATCTGGTATAGCGGCCCGCCCTCAAAATCCTCATCTTCGTTCCTAATTAGGTTTAGCTCCACATTGTAGATAGCCTCATCTCTTTTGTAGAGCATGCTCTTTAGACTCAATACTATCAACAGATCACTGAAATTATTACTGCAATGACTCCTACTGCTTTAGGAGACTGCAACTGACACTTAGGTATTTGAAGCCTTGCACCCTGCCTGGCTTCCCCACAGACCTTCAAAGGCGTCTCGCGAAATGTATTATGCATAATTCAGGCGCAGCCATCTTTGTATCTTTGGCCGTCATCTTCTAGCCAAGCTGCTCTTCCGCACGGTATATCCAAAACGATTTCCGGCATTGTCTCCCCTTTTGAAATTTTACAGATTGTCTATTTTACGCTCTTGTTTCCAGTCCCATCTACGCCATCCATTGCCACGAGTCTCACTTCTGTTTCATTCCCTCCCATCTTTCGAAATCGCCTGTATCTAGATCAAACATGTCCAGCATCCTGCCCACGCTTTGCTGTATGATATCATCCACCGAGTCTGGCCGGGTATAAAATGCAGGTACCGGTGGGAACATGATGGCTCCAGACCTTGTCAAAGACAGCATATTCTCAAGGTGAATATCACTCAGTGGTGTCTCCCTTACCACCATGACCAGTTTCCTTCTCTCCTTCAGTATGACATCTGCTGCACGTGCAATCAGATCACTGCAGTACCCAGTCCGTATCCCAGCCAAAGACTTCATGCTACATGGCACTACTATCATACCATCCGTGTGGAAAGAGCCACTGCTCACAGGAGCAGCAAGATTGTTTGCGGTGTATGCGAAGTCGGCGAGTTCCCTAACAGTCGCCGGTGCGTAATCGGTTTCATATTTGATGGTCGCATCCGCCCACTTGCTGACAATGAGGTGCGTCTCCACGTTCATGCGACGAAGTGCCTCGAGAACTTTGATGCCTAGAATAGCTCCGGTTGCACCTGTCATGGCCACGATGATTCTCTTGCGTCGAGCCAAGGGCCTGTGATCAGGAGTCGATGCATAGGTACGGCGCGATTTGCTACTCTCAAAGCTCGTCCTGCTCATCAGAGAGCATGAGTATGAGGAAGAACTAGAGATTCGGCGCTTAGATACAGAACAAAACATTGCGGTTTGTTCATAGAATAGAGTATACATGATACTGCTAAGAACAAGAATGCCAAATGATCCCTAAATCCAATCATACAATTCTTAAGCTAGGATCGCCTCTAAGGATTTGGGCTCGGGCCCAAGATCAATCAAGATAAGCATGATGAAAATTTCTCCTGGCAATAATGGTCAATCTCCGTGGCAGATCCCTTCTGGCAAGTTTGAGGGAGGCGGGGGACTTCGGAGACCTCGGAGCATGACGGAGGCTCACGGATATTGACGGACATCAACGGACACCGCCTTTGACGGAGTTGTTCAATCTCATCTGTGACCTTTTTAGTTGGAAGTATCTCACTGTTATTAGATCCGTCAGGTTCTTTTATGGTAAGCTTTGAGTCCCCAATGCATCCATTCGTGCTTATGCCCCCAACAGATTCTATTCTAGAACCATTCGATCATCTCTCAAGCACCTGCAATCATGCGTCCAGGAGCTATTCGAATGATGGCGTCCCTCACGAGGACTTCTATTCCACGGGTTTCAACAGCAAGTGAACCACCTCATCTCTGCTTCCGTTCTTTCGTGGACGCATTGCGTGAAGATAATGATCTTGCAGAGATCAATGAGGAGATTGATCCATATCTCGAGGCAGCCGCAATCACTCGTAGAGCATCTGAGACCTTAGGAAAAGCTCCCCTCATGAACAATTTGAAGGGCAACAAATATGGTCTGTGGAGGATTCTGGGTGCACCAGCATGCCTCCGCTCCGAAGAGAAGGGCATGTATGGTCGCTTAGCGCGCCATGTTGGTCTTCCGGTTGATGCAACGATGAGAGAGGTTATGGACCAAATGCTCTCTGCTAAGCATAAAGAAGGAATCAAACCGGTGGTTCTGGAGACGGGTCCATGCAAAGAGAATATCATATCCGGTGATCAGATTGATCTGACGAAGCTGCCAAGCCCTTGGCAACACGGTGCTGACGGTGGAGCTTATCTTCAGTCTTATGGTATGCATATAGTGCAGTCTCCTGATGGATCCTGGACCAATTGGTCCATTGCAAGGGCTATGGTCCACGACAAGAATCATATGACTGGCATAGTCATGACACCACAGCATATTGGTGAGTCTGACGGAATTCTGTTCGAAACGAGCGAAGTACTGATTGTCGTCAGGGGTCATCAGAGACCAGTGGAAAGCCATAGGGAAAGATGTACCTTGGGCTTGCGCATTTGGCGTGCCACCTGCAGCTATCATGGCATCATCGATGCCGCTACCCGATGGAGTCTCCGAGGGAGATTATGTTGGATGCATGACAGGTGCTCCTCTGAAGGTGGTGAAATGCGAAAACAACGACCTTTATGTCCCGGCAACCTCCGAGATAGTCATGGAGGGTACAATCTCAATCACCGAACGTGGCCCAGAAGGACCGTACGGAGAGATGCATGGCTACACGTTCAGAGGAGACGTCCATGACGGTCCATTGATGAAGGTTGATAAAATCACATATCGCGACAATGCCATTCTACCAATGTCGGTTCCGGGACGTGCAGTTGACGAGACAGTAAGTGATTCTGTCCTTAATCTTCTGTTACTGACTTTGCCAGCACACTTTAATTGGAACACTTGCATCCTGTGAGATGCGTCAAATTCTCCAAGATGCCGGTATGCCAGTCACCGAAGTATGGACACCGTTTGAAGCTCAGGCTATCTGGGCTGTCATTAAAATTGACGGAGAGAAACTCAGAGCTCTTAAGACGACGTCCGAGGAGTTTTGTCGAAAGATTGCCAAGTTATTGTTCTACGAAAAGCGTGGAATGATGGTCCACCGTCTCTTCATCGTTGGCGATGACATTGATGTTTACAACTTCAAGGATGTCATGTGGGCATTTTCTACCCGTTGTCGCCCTGGCACCGAGGAATACTTTTATGATGACGTTGGCGCCATGCCTCTGATTCCATTCATGTCCCAAAATGCAAAACTTGGAGTTGATCCTTGGAAGGGTGGCAAGATAGTTTCCGATTGTCTGTTGCCCCAAGAGTACACCACTGGTCCGAACTGGGAGACTGGAGACTTTGAGCATGCCTACCCTAAAGCTATGCAAGAGAAGATCTTAAAGAATTGGTCTGCTATGGGTTTTGACAACTGATGGCGGGATTGTACCATAGCATCTCATAGACTGTATATAAGCATAGATCAATCAATATTACGCTGTGTGGATGAGGCGGGCCTGCCATCCCTCTTCCGCCGCCGCAAGTTGTACCCCTGCTCTTGGCTTTCAAACACACACAGATAACCGGAGTTTTTTCCGACTTGTATGGGCAATTATAGCCTCCTTCTTACGAACCCTTGTCATCACCATCTCACGTACATCGGGACCTATGGCAGTACGTCTTAGCGATAGTGGTTTGGGCGACAGCGATCCCAAGTCTAGCGGCGACGATGCCGGATTTTTGAGCGAGGATGATCAGGGCCGTTTTGAGCACGGACAAGCACAGCCGATGGTCAGACCTAGACGAGCAGCGTTTGCTAGTATACAAGAAAGAGGGCAAGCCTTGGGGCTGGATTTTCAAAAAGTTCTCAGACAGGACTCCGGCTGCAGTTCGCACGCGCTGGAGCATGATACGGCCTCTAGGCGAGTAGTCTCGCACAGGGGACAGGCAATAGTTCAAGCTTTATATCTACTTATCTTTCTATAGACAAGGGTATGGTTATGAGGTACGAAATTGGTAGCACACGTAGCTTGGCCAGAAGGGCCTTATAATATTTATTTCCTTTTTTTATAATTATAATAAAATATTCATTTTATTTTAATTTAAAATATTTAAGAAGTCATAATAGTAAAATGATAGCTTTATTTATAAATCTATTCTTATTTTAATTTTAAATACTTTATTAATATTAGCTATATTAGCTAAACTTCTAGGAATACATCTATGAGTTTCCAAAGCTGCCAGAGCGCAATAAAAGAAAAAAAAAAGCGAAGAAACCATCCTTCCGCCAAGTTGTGATTGCCGGGTTGGGGGCTAGCAGCCATATACAAGATTATGATGCTAGACTACACAGTTTTGCCGACCTCGAGAGCCTTGGTGGACTCTATGGATTCGATGTCGGGATTATGAAGCTTCTGGACAAGGTTGACCATTTCACGCTCTTGAGAGCTCCGCCAGCGAAAAGCAGCATAACAAAGCAAATCAGCAAAGTCTCCTGCTTGACAATCGATGATGCCATTCTCAGGAATGCATTTAGCTTTGCAGAACTATACCATGCTCAGAAACATGGCGAGAGGGATGCATACGAGGCTTTCTTGACGTTTTTGGAGGTCAAGATAGCAACCAAAGGACCCTGGACCGTTGAGGGATGGTCCGAGAATGACAAGAACAAAGTCATTACTCTAGACTGCTACACAATGGAGGAACTTGCAGAGAAAATAGATGGAGCAGCATGAGAGGACTGTTAAGTCGGTAGACGAAGTGAGGTCAGTGGATGAGATTGCGGAGAAACTCGAGGGCGGTATCGGTATTCTGCGCATTATATGTAGACAATGGCAGGGCGCTGATTCTAGATGCTAACTCAATGACATAAATTCATCACACAACATATGGATTTTCATATGTTGAGCAAAGTTCTTTTACCTTCAAAACACTATAGTTGACATCTTGAAAATTGTGCCCGTGCATGGGTGCAGTTACCTGAACTTAACGCTTTCAGATAGAAATACCAGCATGATCCTTTAACTTCTAGATAAAGTGCAGAAGGCCACCAGGGCCGCATATGAAAATTTCTCTTTTCTCTTCTCCCTCTGATAGTCTCAACGACACCTCGAAAACCCTTACCTGCTTAAAATAAAATGCTCGTACTACCCAATAAGAAAATCGATCGACCTGTACTACCCCTCTACCGAGCACCGTCGCCTCAACCGTGTCTCGCTTGGAGTTGCTTCAAAGTGCAACGTTCCAAAGTGACTGTCTTCGGGGGTCGATTGAGATATCTGAGCCTGGAAGCCTTGTACCCAGTCCTAACATTCAATAAGAAAGGGTAATAAGCCAGTATGTCATCCCTATAGGCCACCCAGATGGCCTGCGCGTACCATGCCTCATATGAGCTGTCGACGGTAACTGAATGATGGATGACAAGCTGTTAAGGTTGTGAATTAGAATCTTCGGCATCTTGGATGAAGGAGGTGTTTTGAATGTTGGGATCTCGAGCAATCTTGTGACCAAGATGAAGGGGGGTCCATTTTCGGATAGAGTACAAGTGCTTGATATGGGTGGCAATCGTATAAATCCAGTAGAAAGGATTGTCACTCGAGTCATGGGAATTGTGTCGTCGTCAACAATATTGCCAAAGTATCCAAAGAAGTTCGCGACGAAAGCGTGAATAATGCGAGGGACATGAATAGCCATCTTCCAAATTTTGAATTGTAGCTCTGCAGAAAGCCTTCTGAAGATCGAACGTTGTGTTGTTTCCTCTCTCAGCTTTATTACCGGAGCTAGTGGTAGCTGGCTTCTCATTTGAATGGAGTGTTATAAGAGCATTCGGTTCTGGATCTTCAGGAGCCATAGTGATGATTTCGTTGTAAATCGAAGCCAGTGTGATGTATTTAAGTGTCTCGCCTTCATAAGTGACAGTCTGGAAAAGATTAGTCGTTGCACAAATGCCTCATAGTCCGTGGGGATATTATCATCTGAGACCAACCTGCTAATAGCAATGTTGAAATATCCTGTGGCTCTGGGAAGTTGTCAAGGCTTGATGTTGGTTTGGAGTACCACATCGACATATTTCTCTGTGGACATCGACACTTTTTTCGGGCTCGCTTATGATGAGAAGCACGAGGAAGGTTTCATGAGGGGAAGATTGGGAGGCATTGCGGAGCTAGACATTGCAAAGACGCTCAAATATCTCACCGTAAATGGTCGTAATGCGCTTCCCCTTTCTTCACTTGACATTGCCCCATACAATCAGAGCAAATGTCTCTTCTCTCAACACCCCTCTCCCCCAAAAGTATAATACAAATACAAACGTAAATATAAATCTATCCACCTTTCCTTTTCTTTCCTTGAAGAGCCGAACCGGGCATGCAGGGCAATACATAGCATTGTGAATACAGATGTTACAATTGATAAATAGAAAATAAATAAACATGCACATCATAAAAGCAAGCAAAGATATGGTGGAAACGAAACGAAATGAAACCAGAACTCCATTTCCAAGTGATGGGGCAGCCTATCTACATATGTATGTATGGTATCTTAAATAAATGGAATCGTGGTTGTTATCGTGACAATTCGTACAAAACCTGCTGCTGGACCTCATGCCTACAGTGTCCAATGTCATGCGCTGCCATCTGCTGTCACTTGTCTTTTCCAAGGCGACCTACGCTCGCGCGTTTCATGTCGTATACTCCTCATCATAGGGTAATGCGCCGCACATTGGAAGCCTAGCATCTTCCGCGAAACTGAAATACTCTCGTATATCCAATTTGCAACTTCCGCCCTTACTTCATCCTCCTATTTTCCATTCCCACTAACCTGCCACACGTACGGCAAGTGTGCAAGCTATCTTACATCTTACGCGGTGCTTCCTGAGTCCTCACATCCTCCGACACCAATCCGTCCCTTGGCTCACCTGCCTCTCACACAAGAACCCCTCAAGCACCATTCCAATAAATCCGGCTATACAAATACCCGCACTGTCAGAAACACTAGTCGCGCCGAGACTAAACTCCCTCTCCTCCTCAGGGACGTTCTGCATAATCTCAGCAAAGGTGTTGACGTAGACGGCGCCGCCAAGGAGGCCTTCCCAGAAGATGAGCGCGAGGATGATGTAGACGGAGGGGATGTAAGCGTAGAGGGATTGGGTGAGGAGAATGACGAGGTTGGCGCATTGGAGGAGGCTAGGAAGGTAGAGGGAGTGCAAGCGGATGAAGGGGGTCGAGGAGCGGGCAACGAAGACGCCGAGTTGGTAGGTCAGGGTGTAGGTTGGGTAGAATTGGCGGAAGCTGGTGAAGGGAGTGGAGGGGAGGTCGAAGAGAAGGGTGGGAGATATGCCTTGGTTGATGGTGTATTCGGCGATGTAGACAAGGAGGAGGGGGAGCATGTAGGGTATTACTAGGAGCTTGGCGCGGTGGAGGTTGGTGAGGAGGGTTGATTTGTGCTGTTTGCGCAGTGGAGACCGTGCTCGGGGGGAGAGAGTGGAGTAGGCTTCTGCTGCAATGGAAGGGCCTGGTGCTAGTAAAGATTGAGACGCTGCGTCGATGGGAAGGTGTGATATGTCTTCACCGTCGTAATCCCGGCTCTGCTCCTCAGTTGGTATCTCGGAGTATTCTCTCATTCTTGACGCTCTTCGTAGCGGTGCAAGAGGTAGGATCAGGAAGAAAGCAATGAGCATGATAAATGGCAAGCATGCACAAGTTAACAAACTAGTCCGTACACTCAACCCCAGCGTCCCTGTCAAAAACACATACAATCCCGCACCAACCAGTCCCGCACCGCCCGTTCCACTGCCCCATGCCGCGAGACTGAATGGGCCGTAATAGTGCGTCAGGCCTAGAAAGCTCAACTCTCCCCCTCCGCTACTCAAGCTTGCTAGCGCGACGCCGAAGAGCTTTATAGGGACGGAAGAGGGGGTCAGGGCGATTAGGAACATGCCGGTTGCAGAGAGGGCTGTGAAAGATAAGATGCGGATGTGGTAGGGTATGCGGTGAATGAAATAAGGGGCGAAGAGTTTCGTGAGGAAGGAGGGGAGGACATCGAGGAGTAGGACAAGGGATTTGGGGGTCGATGCGCCAACAAGGTCGAGGGCGCCGGTGAGGATTATAACATAGGAGACGTTGTTGATTAGGCCTGGGCGTGGTTAGTGGGGGTGGGTGAGATGGTCGAAAAAGGCAGAAAGGGAAGGGTTGAGGTACCGAATAACCAGAACGCGATCAAGACGGAATTATCTGCGCCTTCAAAGAGGCCTTTGAAACGTGCTTTGTAGAGGGCCCAAGATGATCCCGGCGTGCCTGGGAGAGGCAGTAGCCCAGAGGAAGAAGGCGATACCATTGTGGATCTAGGGACAGAGATGGAGGATCGGGCGTGTTGTTGCGTTGGAGGTAGTTATTGTGGTTGTGGTTGTGGTCGTGTTCCGCTCGGAATAGTGTCACGCGAGCATAATGTGAGACTGATAAGAGGATCCCGTAATGTGAGAGAGTTGCGTAGTCTTGTATTGTATTGTACTCGAGATTGCGAATATCCCTCCGACCGACCCTTGGTATGCAACTCAATTTATGAGGATATACATACATACTATCTCCAGTTGGGTTTATCTTATGTCTGCCAATCAGCTGGGATGAAAAGAAGTGACGTTGGTTTTCAGCCCAGCTTAAACATGCCTGCATGCACCAGACCCACTTGGCGTCCGAGCCCCTGCTAGCGTGTACAGTGGATCCGCCAAGCCTATTTTGAATGTGAAGAGGAGTTTGTCCTGCATGAGATGATGAACCCGCCGCTTCCCCAGATCATCGACTCTTTCTTCACTCACCGTTCACCGTCTGATCCTCGACCACGTCCCCGTCCTCGAGAAAGAAGCTGCAATACATCGTCCAAGTCGCAGGCAGAAACAAGCACGTGTTGTGTGTGACGATATTTGATTATGCCTTCATAGCCTTACCTGTTTACTTAAACACAACACTGCGCCCGTGTTGATTTGCATCACTTGTTTGCTCTTCCCTTTAGCCGCCCCAGTCATCTAGGAAACCCTCCGAGATATTGATCACCAACGCGAACCAGCAGAGTCTTCAACCAAGCTGTAAAAGCTGTAATGAACACAGAATAAGCTTCAGCCATCGGTGGAATATATTCTTCCAGCTCTAGAGCTCCCTGCTCTGCCCTGCATCCAAATCCTCAACTCCAACTGAATCCTTAACCCGTCGGGCATCAAAGACATTAGACATTATGGATCCGAGACAACCACCACAGCATCCCTTCTCGCGGAATACTGCATCTCCCTATGGACGAACCCCTTTCCCTCCCTCTGCGAATCAACCGCCATTCCCTCCATCCTCTCATCCTCCAACTGCCGCGCCTACTTATGCCGAACATCAACGGCGACCTTCAGAACCTCCATACTATACCCCACAACGAAGCTATGGTCAAGAAGGACCTTCAATAGGCGGACCAGGTCATTCGAGACATCAGAGTGCATCCTCGATAGGCGGTCGAAACATGCCTCCTCCCTCATCTCCTCAGTCGCAACATCACAGCTATGGCCCACCTCCACCGCGAGGACCGCCTGTTTCTGTCGGTCCAGCACCAGCCTTCCCATCTGGTCGCGATCTGCCAACCCTCCCCCCAATAGGTGGACGACTGCAAACTACTGGGATGTCCATTTCATCTATGCTTGGAGGCCCTCCATCAACACGTGAACAACCACCGTCACAATATGGCTCTCCTATTGTCACTTCCGCAGGACAGGCCTTCCCTGGCGCAACTCACGCATCGCCGCGGATGAGTGCAGCTTCGGATTATGCACCATTTCGAAGACCTCAGACTCCCGAACATCGACCTTACGAACCGCGAGATAATAGGGCAAACTCTGCAGGATCTCCATCAGGGATGGGCACTTACTCTACACCCGAAGCACGATCAAGATTTGGAACTCCTGGGCGTCCTCAAGGCATGCCCATAGCCGAAGAACGTCGCGAACCAATTCGCGTACCCAACCCAAATGCAATTCCACCTCGACCTAGTAGTCAGCCGATTTACAATGCCCCTGGCGCTCCTCCACAGCGTCGAGTCGAAAATTCTCGAAATCCACCATATCAGGAAGGAATATTTGGGAGAAGGCCGGATATAGATCAAAGATCGCAGCAGGATGTGCGTCTTGTGGATCGGGAAAAGGAGAGGGATCGTCAACTTCTCATAGACCTGGAAAGGGAGCGAGAACATCGGGAAAGAGAAAGGGAACGGGAATTACGGGAAAGAGATCAACGGGAGAGGGAGCGAGAGCGAGTAGAGCCGGCATATCAGAGAGCTGGATATGAAGATAGACATACTGCGTACGGTTATGCTGAGAGGGAAAGGCAAGAGCGTGAAAGGGAGAGAGAAGTAGCAATACAACGGGAACTAGAGATCAGGGAAAGAGAACTACAGGAGCGGGAAAGAGCTATAGCTGAACATGCTGTCCAACAGGACTATGCACACCAGTTAGCTCAAAGGAATTACAGCAGACCACCTGAGCCTCGCGAGCAGCCTTCATGGATGCGCCCTGAGCCTCCACGACCTTCATATGACCAACCCCCAGAACGGCCACCTCCCCAACAAGAGCGGCCTCCGAACGGCTACGAGTACCCAGCTTCAGCCGCCCCTCAATACCGAGACCACCCAGCTTACACGCCCAGTGAGCCACGATATGCGGCCGTACCACATCCTACTTCCGCACCTCCCCAGCATAGCGCTGCAAGTGCCCCTCCGTTTGAAACGTATCTCGAGAGAGAGCAAAGGGCTCAGGCTCAACTGCATCAGCAGCAGCAGCAGCAGCAGTCTATTTTTGGTGGGTCGTCTCAAAATGGACCATATCAAGTTCAAGACTCTCCCAGGAGAAGGGACTTGGACGATTCACAGCAAATGCAACGGTCACGGAGTTTGCTTGGGGTGCAAGAGATCAATCGTAAAGGTCGTGTTTCTCCTCTTCCTCAGGCTGTTCAAGGTGCACAAGGTCAAATAGGTGGACCAGGCGGTGAGCCAGGGATTAAGAGTGAATTTGGCAGGATGTTTTCAGGGATTGGGAGTGGTGTTGGTGCTATGGGAATTCCAAGCCCAGTTACAGCTGGTCCTCCGCCCCTATCATTTTCTGGTCAACTCCATCGAGAGGATGTCGAGAATCTTCCAGGCCAGGATTCGCCAATGGAAAATGGTGGGAATAAACAGGTCCGAAGCGCATCTCGGGGCGGCGGATCATCAAGGCGGCGAAAGCTGAAAGAAGAGGACATCGGAGGCGATGATAGCAGTACTGGACGTCGTACACCAAGTATCCGAGGAGGCAAGCGATCCAAGACTCACCACCATCACCATCATCAGTGAGTAACCCGTTCCCTCTCCCTATAAAATAGCTAACATCCTCTTGATTCAGTCACCACCACCATGCAGACAACACCTCCTCGCCTGTTCAAACACCTTTGAAAAACGCTACCAAAGCCTCCTCGGTCATTCCCTCACCACCAGATCAGGAAAGCAGAACCCCAATCCTGCACCACCACCACATCCCTGCGTCCCGCGTCCCGCATCATCATCATCATCACAAGCCTTCCTCCCCGAAACCAACCATTCCGCTTCCAATACGCAAAATTAAGAATGATGCCGTACTGGCATCCGTCGCCGACAAACCGCGTCGACATCTAGGGCACGCGTATTATTCTTCAGAACTCGCGCCCACATCTTCGAATTCTGCTTCAAATGCCAGTGCTCGCGGCTTTGTGGGTACGGCTAACCCTTTACTTAAGTTTAAAGGAAAAGAAAACTGTACCTTTACAGTCAAAATTGGAGCTATGTATTTGCAAGATACAGCGCGCAGAGAAATAACACACCGGCGCGCAATTTGGGGCACAGACATTTACACCGACGACTCGGATGTTCTCTGTGCCTGCATCCATTCCGGGTACGTGCAGGGTTGTTTCAGCCCAGACATAGGAGACGAAGTAGGGCTCAAGATGTTGCTTGGTGAGGACTGCGTGCTGCCGCCGATTGGGGAATTGATAAGTGAACCGCCGAAGACTGGACCGAGTTTGGTGCCCGAGGGGAAAGAGTTGCATGTCACGGTGCTGATATTGCCGGCATTGCTAGAGTATAAAGGGATGCATCGATTCGGGGTTAAGAGCCGAGCGTTCGCGGAAGGGGGAAGGGGGCATGATGGGGGTAGTTTCATGGTGACCGGCGTCAAGTGGGTTAGCGGCTCTTCGGCCCAAAACGCAAAACCGAATTCCAAAAATAACACCATTATGCCCGAGCAGCTTTCTCAACAAGAACTCGAAGAAGAGGCTATATTTGCGCGACTCTTTAATGGTGGTCCTGTGAACGGTTCTGCAGACGTTGAAGTTCCCGAGAGCAACGTCCGCTCGGAAGTGAGAGTTAGTCGAAGCGGTGATATTACAGGGATTGGAATGGGTAGTTGGTGGAAGAAAGCGGCACGAATGGAAACGGCGCAAGGTAGAGAAAAGGGCAAGAATGATATAGGAAATGGCGATGGCAATGGGAAAGCGAAAGAGAGGAGTGTGGATATCCTTGCTGAGGCTGCTGCTTCTCTCCTTCCTCTCGAGACTACGACAAGTACAAGCATAACTCCGCAGACTATCGTTGAAAGGATTACGGAGACGGTCGTTGAGAATGACAATGCGGGCGAGAGTGATGCTGGTGGGGATAGGGGTGAGGAGCATGTGAAGAAGGAGGGAGTGACTGAGAGTGGAAGTGGGGTTGCTTGAATATTATGGGGGGTACCTTAGCTTGCTTACACTAGCTTGCGTGAACTTTTTTTGCATAGGGTAGCTAGGATAGGGTAGCGGGCGTTTGGAGCTTGAAGCAATTATTGGAATATCAATAATACTATACGTACTCAGTGCGTTACCTTGGCATTGATATATGTGTCGTTGCCTTGATAGGCAAGTGCCTTTGGTCTTGGAGGTAGTCTATATGAAGGAAGATACCAGAGGACATAGAGATAAATGTCATCGTGCCGTGACTTATGTACTTGGAGAGGGTTGGAAAATGGAAACATTAAGGTTTCCTAGGGACGATTATACTGCGGTTAAAGCAAAGACAAGTACTACAAATCTCCATCACTGTATACTTTGACGAGGATACCAAAATTGGGGAGCGTTAGGAGAATCACTATACCCGTGGATATACTTTTTTATGTCTTGATAAGTCTGATAAGTCCCATTGAGGTTATAAATAGGGATTATGTATCTCGGGGACCAAGCCAAGAGGTGGATGCGGACCCTCCAAAAATAACTCTAGGTCATCCCACCTGCCATTGCGCAAAGGATCCAACTTCCTAAGCTCTGCCAACCATAACATGCAGTCCTGCTTCTCATCAGGTCGAGGTTGGCGCTCTCCCATCTGACTCAGATCCAAAGTATACTCGATCAAGGCATTGTAGATCCACTTGTTATCTTCTGCACCATCGAGCATTTCCTTCAGGTCTGCCAGTTGCCGTATGACGAACGCGACGCGTTCTTCAGCTGTTAAATTGGGTGTTATGGTTGCATGGCCGACTGGGTCCGTCAATGTTGTCATTAGGGATTGGTAGTAGAACCATGCAGACTGGGCGTAAGGATGGGAATCAGTGTACATGGCGGAGAATATCATGTCGAATTCTGGTATATCATTAGCATGTTGTTAGCATTATTTCTCGTAAACCTACCTTCTTCCAAGAACAGCCGTCTTGCCTGATCATCTGCGCCTCTTTCATCCAAAAGTTTCGGAATTAATTTACCGCGGCGGTGGAATGCCGAAAAGTTGGAAAGACCTTTGGGACTCGTGATCATCTTTGTGGTGTATTCGAATTCCGCTTCCGTCATACTTTTGCCATGCAGTGCAGCATTCTCCAGTTCCGAAACGACCTTACTCCTATATCCCCATCCATGAAAGTTGCGGGAGTCTTTCACCAGCATCTTGCTTACTAGCTTCAGCTCCTCATTCCACAATTCGCGTGCGATGTCAGGCTCCAGCCGCTCGTTTGCCTGCTGCAGAAGCCACAGACGATAATTCCAGACCCAGTAGCATTTTGGATACGAGATCATGATGGGGAAGAGAAATTCCAAGTCTGCCCTTATCAAATCAAGAGTTGTACCATTCTTCCCATGATTCTGGGATGCGGGGTCGTGTGGGATCGTCGTCGCGGCCGCTGTGGTATTGGAAGGCGAGGAGGATGAATCGGTGGAAGACGCCTTGGTAGTGGCGGTTGTAGAAATACTCGACAACTCCTTCGAGGGCAATGATGAATCCGAAGGTTTGGAGAAGAAGCCATGTATTAGCAAACGTCTGCGGACGTTCCATATCGTGTAGTATTCGGGGTTCTTCTTGAGGAGTTTGGAGGTGAGCTGGAGAACTTCGACAGTGTACTGGCGCTCTGCAATCTTGTGCGGGTTAGCAGACGTTTAATAACAAGACTGTATGCCTACCTTTGTTTTAATCAGATCGTCCAAGTCTCTGTATTCCTGAATTTGGCGCTGCTCCTCTTTCAGCTCCTCCTCTGTTCGCTGTGTTGTGGTGGCAGGACGCGCAAGACCATGCTGTTCTGATGATCAGCCCAGCTCAGCAAGCAAATAAGCAGTAGTTGGAAGTCCATACGCTTGCCATTATCAATAATATAACGTCTTGTTGATGTTTGAAGCTGAAGAGCTCAATATGATGGTTATCATGCTTGGTTAAGAAAGCACGAGTCAGGAACGATTCAGCCGAGGCGCTGACTGTGTCATGCACTTTCTACCTTTAGGATCCGCATCTACATCTACATCCGCTTTCCCTCTTTCTTTCCTCTCCTACAACTCTCCAACGTCGTCAACATGAAGAGATATCAATAACTTCAAATATAGCCATTCTGCTCTACTAACGCCGGTGTGGCAGTATCTTGCCCGGCTACTATTGCATGTATTAAATTCGAAACGGACATCATATTGGCCTATTCAGCCGACATTCTTTGCCCTCAGGACCGCCCTTTTTGAACGCCCGAGGATATCTCTATCCACCGGACTTGTTCTTTTTTCCAGCAGGAGTCTATCATAACCACTGCATTGTTCTTTCTACTCACCTTCCTTTGTTTTGCGCCGAGAGAGAAGAGTCGATAGCCTCCTTTTCGTTCGTTGGCTATCAACAGCCTCCTCGGATCTTTCGTTATATCTACTAGTCCCGGGCGCCGAGTGATATCTCAGACATGACCGCCATCCACTCCAAACTTTGGGATAGCCACAATAATGGCTCCTACCTGGCTTCGTCTTCTCGGTCTGCCTTTCCGTCAAAATTATCATCTCTGATTGGAAAGCATCGTCGCGACAAGACTTCCAGTAAAGGCTTCCTCTGTATCCAACTTTCTTCATTCTACTGACATTAGATTCTCCCAGGAGAATCTATTGTGCACTCTCGCTGCTTGTCCTTGTCAATCGGCCAGAAATATGATGGCCCATCAGACGACAAGAAACGAACCGTATCAGCTGGGACCTTTCCTCGAATCAAAGCCGCTTCATTCTTTCGTCGTCGGCCGACCCTGAAAACCTTTGATAGCAGTTCCACTCAAATAGGCGGAGCCTCTCTGAGATCCCCAGACCGATTTGTTTGTTCCCGAAGAACGACACTGGACTCTGTCATCGAGAGCTTCCGAATTAACAAAGACCCAAGCAGTCTGACACCCGAAGAAAGACTTCTGCGAAACAAGGATGCGAGTCCTGATGCTTTTAATGCTCGTAGAAATGTTAATTCACCATCGTCTCGCCCAAACCGAACCCCTCCTTCATTACCTCGACGCGATTTTTCTCCAAACCGGAATGGGGGTGGAGGTATATATCCCACCAAGAAAAATATGGCTTTGAAGCTAAAGCAGTCCCAGGAGCAAGTGTATTGACGTTTCATAGAGAGGCCCCATCTCAAAATGGAGAGCGACAAGTAAGTCGTCCTTCCATCAGCACACTACCTTACGCAAAGCCTCTTAGATATACACAATATTTAGCCTTGGGTTTATCTAGCAGCATCATAGAAAAGGAAACTCCTCCCCCTCAGAACTCTGCCAATGACAGCTTAATCTGCATACTGATTGAAATAGGTGAGTGTTGGTACGGTATGGACTGTTGGTGGTCTTGCTCCTTTCAGCACGGGCGTTCCGAATGGCCGAGGAGGTCTTTTGAGCAGCGGAACGAATGCTCCGCTGTATACTACACCGTTCTCCAATGCTCGGCCAAAGGCCCAAGAGGAAATGGAGAAACATGAAGGCCGTTTAGCGGAAGCATTAGAAATTGATCGATCAACCAGAGTTCTCGAGTTTCGGGACCCCACTATCTCACCTTCTAGATTAGGCGAACACGAAAGAAACAAAGCCTTCGAACATGAACGAAAGACCCTCTGGAATGGAACTGAATGGGTCGTAAGCACATCAGATCAAAGTACGTATCAATATGGTCCAGCACCTGCTTGGATCCGAACCTAACAATGTGCAGGGCCCCCGATTACGAAGGAGCCCCGCACACTTCCCCTGGCACCCTTCAAGTACGTTACGTGTCTCAGCTATGAGATTTTACTAATCGCCAGTAGAGTTCTTGATGCTCCAAATCTTCGAGATGACTTCTATTGTTCGGTCCTCGCCTATTCAGCTACATGCCACACTCTCGCAGTTGGCCTTGGTACTTTGCTTTACGCATGGTCAGAGATGCAAGGGGTTCACCTCCTACATACCGGAACCCAAAACGGATCCCACCTCACAAGTCTAGCATTTTCTTCTGCTCAAGGAGGCAAATGTATTCTGGCTTTCGGTAAGTCAGATGGGTCTCTCAGCCTCATGTCTCTCTATGACAGCATGATACCGCGTTTCGAGCTTCCACAACCATCGCCAGTCGCATGCATCACTTGGAGACCCGTGACTACAATGCGACCTTCTAAGTGCCCAATTACGCCAGGAGTTCTTGTCCAGACTGAGGACCTGCTCGTAGGAGACGAAAGTGGACTTCTCCAGTACTACTCAGTCGAATGGGCTGATGCATGGGAGGTGACACGGGGTGGTTGGTCTGGATCTGTAATGCTACTCGCTCGAATTACTATTCATACGCAACAAATATGCGGCTTGTCCTTCAATCCCGATGGTAGTCTGCTTGGTACCGGTGGGAATGATAATCTATGTTGTCTGTTCCAGACCCGGAGTATCCTAGACAGCGTACAAGGCCACAATGACAATGCAGCGGAACTATTCACCGGGGCCGATGGAATTCGCCGTGTTCGCTCTCCAGCGCCGGGTGGCCGCAACACAGTGAAGGAGATCGTAGTAGGCGCCGAGAAACACCGATGGGTCCACGGTGCTGCCGTCAAAGCTATTGCATTTTGCCCATGGCGCGACGGTCTCGTTGCTACTAGTGGTGGCAGCAATGACAAATGTATCCACTTCTTTCATACGTCCTCTGGGGCATGTCTTGCTACGATCAGCGTCGCCGCTCAAGTTACATCTCTGATCTGGTCTACCACTCGGCGGGAGATTGCTGCTACCTTTGGCTATGCGCAGCCGGAACATCCCTACCGAATTGCTGTTTTCTCCTGGCCCGATTGTAAACAGGTTGCTGCTATTCCTTAGGAGGGAGAACACCGAGCTTTGTATGCCATCCCTTACCCGGGTGGACCCAATGAAAGTCAGACGAGTAGAGAGGGTGGACGTAGCTTGACCCGAACCGCTCAAGAAGGTTGCATCGTTGTGGCGTGTAGTGATGAAAGTGTCAAGTTCCATGAAGTTTGGACAGCAAGCCAGAAGTCTACTGCTGGTGGTGAAGGCTTGCTTGGTGGGAGTGATATTCTTGAGGGACTGGAAGGTATTGATAAGGAGGGAGAGGTCATCAGGTAGACTGTTCTCGGATTGGTGGTTGGTTGCTCCCACATGGCGTTGGAGGGTCAAAAGTATTCTTCTAGATACTCAATATGAATTATGATTTTGCATCAGCCCCATTTTGCAAAGTTGCTGTGTTGGCTTTTTTTTGGCCAGTGTCCTGCTTGGTTCCAATTTAGCTGACACTGCCCTCATCTTGATTTCTACCATGTGTTCTGAATAACAGATGCTTGAATTCTAGAAGCTATGCAAACCACCTGTCGCAATGCTGGTTCTTCCTCCACGTTAAATTAAAATCAGAAAGCGTCCCAAATAGGAAATCCAAACGTTTTGTTGCACTTCGCGTCTAGAAAACGCTTACCAAAACGCTTACCAAAACGCTTACCAAACGCTCACCAATCGAGAGCGACCGCCTTGTGTTTTTCTATTTGCATTCACATCCACCAAGCCGTCTAACTGAGGGGGTAGTGGGCATATATACTTGAATAAACGGAAACATAAACTACATCTAATGTGTAATAGTATACTGGTCTAGGTTTCTGCCAGTATTACTCGTCAAGCGTTACTAAGTAAAACTTGAGGGTGTCTTGGCCAAATATCTTTTTAGGATTGGCTTTTTATGTATTTTATATTACAGAGAATTCCATATATTATCTAATATTTCCCCTTGTTTGGCTAAAAAGGATAGAGGTTTTTGGTACTCATTTATGGCTGGCTAGTGGACATAGAGCTGGTATTAAAGTTGAACATTTTGATTACAAGAATGTTGCACTAATATTATGTTTTGAGACGCAAGAGAGTGAGCTAGCCCGTAGCCATCTTCCAGCCCAAGGAGATGATGAAAGAAAGCACGTCTGGTACAGCTCGTCTTGCACTGGCAATAGAGTTATCAGAAGGGCTGCATCAATCCCCGGATATCAGATATACGTGACCAGTGCGCTTAAAGGCAATACAAGATATAAATCAAGCCTCTCCAAACAAAAAGCGCAGAAGGACCAAGCGTTGACATATGCGAATGTGGTACTTACCAGGGGTTCTCGTTACACCTTGACACCAAGTGCAATACACCGAGAGCTTTCTACGCTATACGAAGACAAACCATTGCCATTCCATCCTTCATCATACAAATCCCTTCGCCATCCAGTCATCTTCCTTTATCTATAATACACACCCCATGCCTCAAAAATCCGTCACTCGTCCATTATAACTCCAATCCCCCTTCTCCCCCGTACTCCCCCACCTCAACGGCTCATTCTTTGGCCCTCCAACCTCGCCCGTCTTCGGATTGACATCGCCTTCGAATTCAGGCTTCGCGCCTCTCTTAATATCAGGATGTAATTCCTCTCCTTGCCCTTTTGCTTCTACCCTTGCATTTAACGCTTCCTCTGTTTTCGATGCTGGGGATTGGTTTATTTGGGGTCTTGGTCGTGGCGAAGATTCGGGAGCAATGTGTTTTGGCTGGCTGAATGCGCCGGTAGATGCTTTTTGTAGACGCTCGAACTCTTCTTGTTCTTTGGGCGGGAGACGGGGTGGCGCGGGGCCTGTTGCGAAGGCTGGTCGGGTTGAGGAATTCGAGAAGAAGCGGCGGGATGGGAGGAGGAATTTGGGTAATAAGAGTCGTGACATTGTGTATGTTGCTTTCTAATTGGCAGGTTATTGGAGTTGGGAGCATTCAGATGTATAAGTATTTCAAGTAGAGGAAGCTTGGTGGCAATGAGATGAACAAGTGAAGCTGGGCCTGGTGGGCTGGTGGAGTTGATTACATAATCTCGGGGTATGTGGGGCGTCTGCCGGGCGGTGAAATAATTTTTTGGAGGGGCAATATCATCGGCCGCAATATCTAGATACGGTGCATATCTACTGACTCATTCCACAAATCTTTTAAATACCCGCAAGACTTGCCATCTTCTTGCAATTGATCTCTCAAACACATATCCCTATATTTGCAATCATGGACGGACTCAAAAGAACATTCGCACAATGCAAGAAAGAGGAAAGAGTATGCAATTCCTGTGGCAATTGCCCCCCAATTGAGGAACATAGCTGACGGTGTTTGTTGATAGCCTGCCCTTGTGACATATGTTACGGCTGGATTCCCTACTGCTGCTGAGACGGTTGAGGTGCTACTTGGCATGGAAGCTGGCGGTGCAGGTGAGAAATCCAATTGGTTGCCATTGAACATTGCTAATCGATTGCATAGATGTTATTGAGCTTGGTTTACCATTTACGGACCCAATTGCAGACGGACCTACCATTCAAAAATCGAATACTGTTCGTTTATATTCCAAGCATAAGCCCGAATATTCCTGACAAACCCTACACAGATTGCTCTCAAAAATGGAGTCACTGTCGAATCAACTCTTCAGATGGTCCGAGAGGCTCGAAAGAAGGGATTAAAAGCTCCCGTGCTGTTTATGGGATACTACAACCCTATGCTGAGCTATGGCGAAGAGAGACTGTTGAAAGACTGTAGCGAAGCGGGTGTCAATGGCTTCATTGTCGTTGATCTGCCACCCGAGGAGGCTGTTACATTTAGGAATTTCTGTACAAAGGGAGGGTGAGTCACTCAAGTATCCCTCTACTGAAGCTATATTAATCTTCTTGCAGGCTATCATACGTTCCTCTTATCGCCCCATCTACCTCTGAGTCTCGGATGAAGCTACTCTGCAAGCTTGCCGACTCTTTTATATATGTCGTCTCTAGGATGGGTGTCACTGGCGCCACTGGAGGGACGATGAATACACAATTACCTGATCTTTTGAAACGAGTCAAGGAGTACTCAGGTGACAAACCTGCTGCTGTTGGCTTTGGTGTTAGCACAAGAGATCATTTCTTGAGTGTTGCCAAGATCGCTGATGGTGTAGTCATTGGGAGTCAAATTATCACCACTCTGGCAGACGCTCCAGCCGGCCAAGGTGCGAAAGCTGTAGAGGAATATTGTGCCACAGTCTGCGGCCGACGAAATGTTCCCAACGGTGGTCTCACTCGAGAAGTTGGTATCATCGAGACGATGCATGAAGCAAAAGAGCCCACCGATGTCCACGTGGATGGTGTTATCCGCGAAACTGGACATGGTGTCGGTCTGGTAGATCAGATTGAGGCCCTGAACACCGATGGCCCAGTTGATCCAGCTGCTGTCCCAGCAAGATTTGGCGAGTTTGGTGGACAATATGTCCCCGAATCACTGATGGACTGTTTATCCGAGCTCGAAGAGGGATTCAACAAGATCAAAGATGATCCCGCCTTTTGGGAAGAGTACCGAACATATTACCCCTGGATGGGACGACCCGGCCAGCTACACATGGCTGAGAGACTAACCGAGCACGCCGGTGGAGCCAACATCTGGTTAAAGCGAGAAGATCTAAATCATACCGGAAGTCACAAGATTAACAACGCCCTCGGCCAAATTCTCCTCGCCCGAAGACTAGGTAAGACCGAGATCATTGCCGAGACAGGAGCTGGCCAGCACGGCGTAGCAACTGCTACAGTCTGCGCAAAATTCGGCATGAAATGCACCATCTACATGGGAGCTGAAGACGTCCGTCGCCAAGCCCTCAACGTCTTCCGCATCAAACTTCTTGGCGCCTCAGTCATCGCTGTCGAAGCCGGGTCCCGCACGCTCCGCGATGCCGTCAACGAAGCTATGCGCGCCTGGGTCGTCAAGCTCGACACAACGCACTATATCATCGGATCCGCCATCGGCCCTCACCCGTTCCCAACCATCGTCCGTACATTCCAGTCCGTCATCGGCAACGAGACCAGGGCTCAGATGCTTGAGAAGCGCGGGAAGTTGCCGGATGCGGTCGTTGCTTGTGTAGGTGGTGGATCTAATGCCGTCGGGATGTTTTATCCATTCAGCAAGGACCCAAGTGTGAAATTACTAGGTGTAGAAGCTGCTGGCGATGGGCTGGATACAGCGCGCCACTCTGCAACCCTCACCGGTGGCACCAAAGGTGTTCTCCACGGCGTCCGTACCTACGTCCTTCAAGACCGCCACGGTCAAATCCAAGACACGCATTCCGTATCCGCCGGCCTCGATTACCCCGGTGTCGGCCCCGAGCTCTCGAATTGGAAAGACAGCGAGCGCGCGAAGTTCATCGCCGCTACTGATGTCGAGGCGTTTATTGGGTTCAGGCTGATTTCTCAATTGGAGGGCATTATCCCGGCGTTGGAGACGGCGCATGCCATATTTGGGGCGGTGGAGTTGGCGAAGACGATGGAGAAGGGGCAAGATATCGTTATTTGTGTTAGTGGCAGGGGAGATAAGGATGTGCAGAGTGTTGCGGATGAGTTGCCTGTTCTAGGGCCGAAAATTGGGTGGGATTTGAGATTTTAAATCCCCGTGGAGGGGAAAAGGGGTTATAGTGTGATGTGTCATTTTGACATTTACGTCTAAAAGATCAATAGAAATTCTTGATTAAGTATATATAGATTTGGCTCCCTATTGATGTTGAGTTCACACCATAGCAAAGCAAATACATATATGCTCCTCACACTCTTCCACACACCTCTCTAGATGACACCCGTAGACCACCAGGACTGATTGTTCTAGATTCTCTATCTTCTTCAAGTCAGTATTGATATCAATTCAATCATTCCGTCGCAACTCCACCGAACAATGAATGAAAATACCTCTCAAGTGACATAATCAATTAATAAACTAACCCTTTTCTAGGCATATTATGCTTGCGCGTGAGAAGCAATTTAGTAACTTTGTTATAAAGGAGCTGTATAGACTGAAAGTCGATATAGAGGCAGAGGTTTTCAAGATCTTTCCAACGTTTCATCACCTTAGCAAAGGTCTTATTCCAAGCTGATTAAAGAATTTCCTGGAAGGTAACTTTAATATGCCACTTACAGTTAAGAGAATCAAGAACAAAACTCAGCTGCCGTTTCTTAGGCTCTGATCCCCTTCTATCCGTCTCTTCTTTGTATGTCTTTAGCGAGAAGCAAATCGACCATGAGGCTAGGCTTGGAGTCGTAGACGTGGCGGAAAGAACAACAGCTCTCTTGGATATTGTAGATAAATTGAAAATGAGTGGGTGATCTCGCCTTCGAAATTTTATCCTTAAGATAAAATAAGAAGGATCTTCGAAGGGAGAGAGCGCGAGATCTTCGGCGTTTGGCTTTTCCGGTCCTTGCTTAGTAATAACTTACTCGTATGTAATCTTGTGGTTTCTAAGCTAACTTTATGGCTTATTTCACCGTTTCAGGCGCCTCACTGTACTCAATATTTCCTTTTTTTTTTTTATAAATATAAGTTACTTAAGCCTTGCAGTGACTGAGAAGCACTACAACATACGAGGTCGTCATATGAATTGATACCTCCAATGAAGGGATCGATGATCCCTAGCCATGGTTAGGGTAATTCCAGCGTATTTATCTCTATATAGTTAAAGCTGTGCCTTCTCTGTTGTGTAACCGTTCACGCATTTCAACCAATCACTTCACAACACGTAGGCGATCCAACTGTAAGCAAGTCGAAGATAGCTGAATGGAAAGTGATTCGCCAGCTGAGACTCTTATCAAAGATGTAACTCTCTCTGTGCTAGACTTCGCGGTCTATCTGTGAGGCTTTGCGGACTGAATATCATTTATACTGTAAAGCCATCACTGGGTGATTGAGGTGAAATTGTAGCATTTTACTTTACCTTCTACTCTTTTGGAATGTTTGAGCAAACAATATGCCTAAAAAGAGGAAACCAATATCGCCGAATGCTCCCCGTCTTAATCCCTACCAACGAATACTCAGCCGGTTTTACGAGCCTTTGATTCTCCTCTGCATCTTGGGTAGAACCAGAGGGGAACATCGACTAGCTGATTTTCCAAGGTCATCAGATGTAACTAGCTGGCCTCTTAAATATGTCAGACGTCTCTTCCTCAATCAATTGGCTTTTTTATGTGACTACGACACAGGTGGTGACTCGGTCACTGCCATTAGTATTCAGCACACGCCCCAGCAACGAATCTTTTGGATCGCTGCGAACAATTCTCCCTGCAAAAAGATCATACCTTTCGCACAGGATTCCCTTTTGCGGTTAAAATGTGCCGCCGAAAGCCGAGTCGCTGTTGACGAGGCCATAGACCCATTCTTGGCCGCTTGCATAGATCATGCAAAGCCTCGCATCAAGGCGTATTCTCATTTTTTTACGATACAACTCAAGGCTTGTGGAGAAAATCTGGAAAATAAGGCAGTTGAAGACCAAAGTTGTGAGTAATGTCTCAATTAAATCAAATGACATATACTAAAAGTCTCGCGTTGTAGATAAGCTGCTGTTGGTTTGGCTCAAAACATTCCAATCTCAAAGCGTTAAATTGGAGGATCTTTGCAAGCTTGCTTACAACTCTCGACGATGCGAAGAGATGCGTATACTGAAGGGTCTGTGTGGAGAAGCTCATTCTCAGCCAGAGAGAAATTCCTTGCAAGCTAAGTGCAGACTCCTCAGGCATTACATTGGTCGGCTTGGTCAATACATGAAGGTAGTCAAAACACTATTCCGGAGCGCTCCATGTCTGTTGAATTTGCTCGACGATTTCAAGATATGCCCCATATCACTTCCAGCTCGAACGTTGCCACCATCAACGGACGGGAAAACCAACTTAGACAGCATTGCCGTAAGGATGCTGCCAGCTCAGTCTCCAGATCTTGCACGTTATCAACTTGCCCTCTTCGAGATGGATACGCGATTTGATATTTATGCACAGTACATGGAAATGTACAACGAGGATAACTTCAAACCTCGTGTTCACGCCGAAGTTCAAATACTAGACTTTTTTCATAACAACGCTCTGGAATTCGAAGAATCTGACATTTTTGTGGCATGCAGCAAACCCGCTTGCTATTGTTGCTCGCTTTACTTTCATCATCACCCTTTGCGCCCAGTCACCCCGGCTAGCCATCAAACGATTCATAAAAACTGGAGGCCACCCGACTTTGTGCCCGGTAACAATACACAAAGAGACATATTAAATAAGATGATCAAAGATGTGCGCACGGAAGCTCTTCATCAGATAGATCAGAGGAGACGAAATGCAAAATGGCATCCCGACTCCACGACAGGCATCACAGAGTCAATTTCGCATCTCCTCGACCAAGAACATCTTTTTGGAGTCACTGATTTATCAGAAGATCTTGGTGAGACGACTCTTGGAAACATTTTACAGGATCGCACTAAAATTTGGCATAGAGGATATAAGCTCAGAAGCAAGTAGTCTTTCATTCGACGAAGAAACTGAGGGCCAAGATTCCAATTTACTCCGTGAGCTTGATGAGTGGGAGCCTTCTCACATCAAGCAGCTGTGCTCTGATTGGGAAGAAGACTCAGATGAGAGTGGTGGCGTTCCGGTGCGGTTATAAGCTGGTAAGCGATATAATCGCCGATGATGAACGATTCTGGAATCACTCATCACGTCCTTGTGCAGCGATCTCAAAGCGCCCAAAGGGAGTTGTCAGTAAAAGGTCTACGAGCTCTTTGCGCCTTTCAACCTCAGAACAATTTGCTTTGGGTTTCCAAGCCTCGCCACGATGCTGAAAAGAATCATTGTCAGCCTTGGAGTGACTAGGGAAACTGTGTTATGCAATGTCGCCACATTGGTTGGTGCCTTCAAAATCAAGCTGGAAGCATAATAAGAAGATTATTCGGAGCGAAGAGGGGTGCTTTCGAGCTTTCCTTTCTCTAGCAAATTAGGAATCCATTTTTGGTTAGTAATAGCTTTTGTGAGTTAGTGGCCTGTAAATATTGTGGCTTATTCCTTCAACATAACGTTGAAAGCTTAATAAGAACGCGAGAGAATCTAATAGTGAGCATTGCGAGGTCCGCTACTCATAGAATTTTGCAGATGCTACTATTTTTGATTTACAATAATCACAGCGAGACGGAGCCGGTACTTTCATACTCCGCACCAAAGCGTACATGATCGCATGGAAGGTGGTGGGGTTATATCCTTCAGTGTCCCAGCAAAGAACTCGGGCTCAAGGTATTTAATGCATGGATTGGCATATTATAGTTAATCAAGAGAATCAACATCCCCAGAATCCGTCAGAACATGGAGTGAAGTGCATGGATTGATATCTATAGCAGCTTATACTTCGTTATAGAGACTCGAGGAAGTTCATTTCTTGGTTGACTTTGCTTTAGGAAGTGAGGAAGACTTTTGACAGCGTTGTAGTGGTAAGAAGTAATAAAGTGCGTCACAAACATTAATAGCTCCACTGCTTTTAGCCTAAATTGGTCTGTGGCTTAGAATTGCACTTTTGTCTTTCGTGAAGTTTCCGGTGGCGTATTTATTAACAGGGGTATATATGCACTTTTGTCCCCCCTTTCTAAGTGGCTCGCTTAACCTTGGTCTTGCCTTGTTTGTGAGACGTTGGAATAATATATCTTTTCTCCCTTTCCTCCCATCTCAACAGTCTTTCATTACATTTGTTCAATCTTCTATCTTGGATCTTCGAGAATTAAACCTTGATCTGAAATCTTCGAACTTATCTTACTGCCCTTTCATCTCCTTGTGGCTTGTCAAAGCCGGTCGTTCACGTCGCAGCCTTACGCCTCCACAACGCTGGTCGCTCATTCTTTCATAATCATGGAGACCCAGCTTCAAGCCCAACAGGGTCCCCCAAAAGGCACATGCCTCGCAAAAATCGACGAGAAATGGCAGTCACTCAAAGGGGACATACACGATATCTATATTACAAAATCCCAGACTTTGCCGACCACAATGAGAGACATTGAAAGCCTACATGGCTTTAAAGCATCGTAAGAATATTTCCATCCCTGTCATCAATTGAAGTTTTTTGACATAGATATTGTATAGTGAACGGAAGTGGAAAACTAAGCTGAAGGAGTGGGGATACCTCAAGAAGTTGAGCGAGGATGATATGAAGATCGTCGTATCCAAAGTCGACAAGCGCTCGAGAGAGGGCAAGCAGACTGTCGCTAGTCATGCCGGGTCTGGAATTACTAAGGAGAGAATCAAGAATTTTAAAAAGAGGAAGACAGTCAAAGATTCCAATGCGGCATCACCCAGTGCTGGTAAGGATTTTCTTTTCAATCATCTGGCTTGAAGTTAATTGTCTGTAGCCACTCCAGCCTTTGTCAGCTATGGTACACCGAATTTTGAATGCGATGGCGACTTATTGGTTGGAGATCATATGGACCGAATATCTGAGGAGCCTCAAGACATTTTGGCGTTCCAGGAGCAGATGGAATCCCCCGAACAAGATAACAGCATAAACATTCCGGACACGATGATGACTCCCGCTCATGGTATCGTGACACGGGATGCTCAAAGCCTCGACGTTCAGGACAACCCGTTTGGCGCAGAAGCGACGTCACTTGCCACGATATGGCCAGGAAGCATCCAAACTGAATATTCATATTCTATAGATGCCCTTCACATCGGCGTGCCCAAAGATTATCTAGCAGAGGCAAGTGATGTTGTGCATGCGCGCAATTCGTACGATGCCAAAACTGCTATCAGAGCCGAAGCCGAACATAGCTTTTTTGACTTACCCCAAAACCTGCAAAGACTTGTGCTACCCGGATTTCGCTATTTATTGGATAAGCATGACATCCAACGCCTGGCTAATATTCGAGAGTCGTCTGAGGATCAATCAAAAGTGGCCATTGTCATTTCTATATGTGCTTCGGTTCTTGATCGATACATCATGCTCGGGAACCCTGAGCCACATAAATCGTGCGCACTTCACCTTGAACTTGCACGGGCATTAAGATCTCAAAATCGGCTTGGCGAATCTAGGTGCATGTATCGCGTGTGCTATCTTGGTTACGAACGAATCTTCGGTACATCAGGTACAGCTACTCTGAAGGCCCTGAGATGTCTTGTCGATATTCTTATGGAAATGGGAGAGTACAAAGATGCCAGTGTCCGATGTCGCAAGGCCCTTGTAGATACTCAGGTCCAAAATCACGGGAGCATCTTCGGGTGGCAATTATCCCTTGATTCTATAGAGAAAAAAGTAGCAAAAGGCTACAAGGCTTTGAGGACTTTGCTACATCTTCTTTGCAGAGCTTTGAATCAAAATTCTATCGCTTACTCCCTTACAACACTGCTGCAAAAAGTACTCGAACCTGTTCGTTCAGCACCCGACTGCTTGAACAAACCAAGACTCGGTTCCTCAAATAGCTTGGACAATGGCCTCCTCATTCAACTGCTGCAAGAGATGGTTGAAATGGTTGGAGAGCGTCCTGATTTGGATATGGAATTGTTTCCAGGTCTCATGTTCAAAGCTATTGAATTAGTGAAAAAGAGTTGGCCAGTGCTAGACTTGTCTAGCTCAAGTGCTGGACGTGATGCAGCAGAGACGCTCTTTGATTATGGAATAACCAGATCGAAACACGCTTCACTCAAGGCTTCATGTTACGAGAAAGTTGATATATTTTACTGGTACGCCAAACAACTTATTCGACAACGTCAGTTTGATAGGTCTATCTCCTACTTGTTAGACTCCTGGGACACATTGGTGGAGGTGGATCGTAGTGGAGAGCCTTGGGGAGAAAGGGTGTTGACAAAGATAGAGAAAGTCTTACCAAACTTTCTTTTTCAGATGTCAAGGGATGCTGGATCCCCTAGCACGTATGACGTCTCTGTCTGGAACAGGATTGAAGCGATGTCGAGGCGTTTGGGGAGTATTCCTCCAATTCATGCAGCAACGATTCGCGACTTTCTTTATGGATCTTACACTTATGGACACCGAGAGTGCTTGGGTACACCTGACAGAACCTACAGTACCGTAGATGATGCTGAAACGATCAAATCGATGAGCACCCTACAAACGACTAGCACCGTGACTTTCAAGCTTGGGGAAACATTATCCGGCAGCGAGTACATGGACTTTGGTATCGTGAACAACATGGGCCCGTACAAGCAATCACTCGAAAACTCAAGTGAGGGAGGACACTTGCCAGAGGATGGCTTTGAACACATGGATCATCAATGAACAAAACCTTTCTGACTGGTATGTTCGAAGTAGGGAAAATTCCCCAGAAATGATGACTTACCAGGGTTGGCATTTTACGGCAAGGTGGGATACGGATGGGAGAAAGGGGGTGAATATTGTCCTTAGTTTGAGCGCGGAGTGCATGCTTCAAGTATAAAATGTAAAGCGTGGAGATTTGGAGACTAGTGATAGTGTTTAAACTGAGTGCGGGGGAGCATACACTTCTTCCTTTCTATGTAAACGCTCTTGACCTTTTGCCTTTTGTTTTTGCTTTGCCACAAGGGATGCGGCATTAACCACTATTTTGCTCGTCTTATGTGAAATAAGTCTCCTCCATTTCCTCAAAATGTATCGATAGCGACATCGACGCCGTGGTAGCACCTGAACATCTTTCCAGAATCCAGCAGCACCGTTCAATGAGGTGAGAGCAGGCAGCATATGGAGCTGTACCAACCCATCTTTGAGACTCAATTGTAGTCAAAACAAAAGGTATCCTAGCAGGAGAGATTGGACCATAGGCAGACATTATACTAGTGGGGTAAAGTTGATGTGTAACTCCTAAGTTCAATAACTTGCGTTGAACTTCTAAAGATCGAACGATGTGTGCGGGTCATATCGGTAGAAGTTGCACTTTTGGGCCTCATCAACTCTTGAATAAGACCTAGAAAGTTCACCCTTGATTGGATCTAGCAATATGTGGTATACACGAAGTCAAAACTCCCCTTATAGTATCTGAGAACCGCGAGACACTTCATCTTCAAGTCTGGGGTTGCTTACTTAAAGTCGTCTCCGATTTCCCCCAGTTTCTAGGTTGTAACAAACCCTTGCCCCAATACCTGGCATTATCTCGAATGATTCACTCGCGGTTAGACATTGATAAGACAAGCGGGCTGGCAAAAAAGGGTGTCATGTGGAGAGGGTTGCTTCGTGTTTTGTCGACTTGCTTACCCTTTCTCGACTTCGCCCTCTTCTTCTCTGAGCAACCACAACAGATAGTCACCACAACGACAGCACAAAATGGGTTCCAGAGAAGCCAAAGCAAAGCCAGCATCTGCTACGGTCCTGTCTCAGACTATGTCGGCCCCCATGCCCACAAACGCAAGACCTGCCTCTGCAGCAGAGAAGCTGAGTGATGAGCTCTTGGTTATGATATTTGAAGAGGTGCGCCATATTGAGAATATCTCAGTGAATCTGAGACATGCTGGAACTGTTAAGACTGACAAGTCGTAACAGGCGTTCGCTGAAAGACGCATCCAGAGGTCCAAATTCCCCTCGACCCATCGTCTTGTGTCAAGAACATGGAACAGAATCGCAACTCGCTTTGTTTATCGCCACATGCGAGTGACCAGTAATAAACTTACGAACAATTGGCCGTTACATCAAAGCGAGAATCGTGCCAGGCGCAGTGTATGGGCCAATATGCGTGAACACACTAGGATGATTGGCATCTTGATAGGGCCTACCTACCAATGGAACACTCTCGTCAAACTGCTTTCGGGTTGCAAAAAGCTTGGAATGATCGAGTAAGTTCTGAGTTCAAGCTCAATCCCCATATACAGAAATGGACGCGCAGAGATAGACAAAAAAGAATACTACTAAGAAAATTTTCAGATGCGGATACAAAAACAACGGGACTTGGAACGTAAATACGGGTGAGGTTTTTCCGGAGCCCCTACGAAACGCCTTCATCACGCGATGGCAGCGATACAACGTAAAGCTAGGTTTCGTTCATGCTACCGTTGGACTCACAAGTCTGAAGCTTCTACCCTTAGCATCGAGCTTGGTTCATCTCATTATCAGCCCAGGGGGGGATTGGAAGGCAATCCTGCAAGCATCTCAAAACCTGAAGGATCTAGTATTGCTGGGACCCCTCAATGCGCCATTCAGTTTTCTTGGACAAGATAAGAAGTTCCCAGCTTTGACAAGATTGTATACATGGGACTATCCATGGTTGCAATGTTCAAAGGCCGACTTCCAATTATGGGACTTTTCAAGACTAAGAACTCTCAAGATAGTGGGCACTTCCCGGGACATATCTCAGTTCTTATTATCAGTACCACCAAAGGAACTTCCGTTGCTTGAAGACTTGCAGCTTTTATTCACCGTTACACAACAGACACAACAGACTCTTCCTGGACATGTGGCGCAGAATCTGGTGGGTCTTTCGATACCAGATTTGTTAGGAGAACTCGTCAGAGGTCTGGTTAAACTCAAGAACTTCCATATCAACAGATACGACGGGACAATTTTGTTGAGGGAAATCATGAAGAAAGGTGGCAACCTACGGGCTTTACATCTCGAGAACTTCCAACGAGATTACGTCTCACTTGTGCAATTAAAAAGCCTCCGGGATGCTTGCTTCAATTTGACTAAATTGGGGATTGGTGTTCCGAACGATATCCACGAGGTAAGTGAGAAGCATCTTGGTGCAGACTGCGTCCCGGGCAAACACGAAATTTAGTGCTATGCTAATAGAAGTCTGTAGTCCAATAGATATATGAAAGTGTTATCTTCTTTCCCAAAGCTGACAGCGATTAATATCAAAGTAGCAGACTACAGAAACGCCTCATGGCCTAGTACACAGAAGGCAAGAGCTGAAAGTACTCGCATGGCATGGCGCACTAATCCCTCTGTGAAAAAGATGCTTGTTCGCACGGTAGCAAACGAGACAGTTGGGTTGCTTCCTAGACTAATGGAGATGAGATATACTTGGGATTGCAGCGGTACAATGAGCAGAGAAGAAAATTTTCGAGAGATGTGGTATGTGCACACTTGAATGCCGAAAGTGTTATCAGGTCTAGATCATTGCTGGCAACCTGGCAGGAAGACGGAGGTATTTGTGGGTGCATTTAGAAGTCTCTATCAAGGCTCTTTTGTTGAAAAAGCCCGAGGTATCTGGAGCAGCTTAAGATTCTGAGCCTCTTCATGTACGAGTAGCATCCAAGGAAACGGTATATAATATTCTCACGGTGATTTATGAGGGGCGTGAAGCTCGTCGTCGCTTTCGCCCAATCAGCCAGTAGTTGACTCGCACGTGCAAGCCTCAAACCTAATTTCAACTTCACTTCACTCCTTACCCCACTAGCAACGTAACAAAGCTCCCCCTCCCCATTATTGACAATGCAACCAGGCTCAGATCGCCCAGCGCGAGGTGTATGCCACCTTGATAACGAATCATCTACACCACTTTCCAAGCAAATCCCACTTTTGCAGCAGCTGCATTGATTCTTCCTCCTTCCAAAACGATAGGTAAGGTCCCACAAGCTCCTAGAGAGCTCCTAGGGATAAGTATGGATGGACACCCCACGTCCACGCCCGCCAGTCTGGTGCGGCAACCTCCTTACGAAGTTAATACCCATCCTCGGTATACTGCTACTCTATCGCATCATTGACCAAGAACTCGCCGCCATGCGCTCGAATCCCCACACTGGTTTTATAGCAGCAGTTGCCGCGTCCCTTACACACCATGCCGAGGCTGCCTCAACGGTTGATCTGAGCTGGCACGCACCGAATGCTACGGGTATCAATAACCTGACGGAGGTGATTGGGGGCGAGGGCGTTTATGGGTTCATTTACAATAGCTCTCACACGCCAGCGAGCCAGTATGGGGTTTACAATTGGTGCAATATGCCGCACGTGAGGGCGACCGAGTATAAAAAGCCTGAGTCCGAATACAAGTTACAGTATGTAGAGGTAGTAAGTTGTTCTTGTTTCAATGGTTCAAATTGTTATGCCGACAAAATAGATTCATCGACATCACAAACGCACTGTTTACGCTTCAAATTCGTTCCCTGTCGAATCTTATGGCTGGGATTGTGATGATGAGGGGTTATTCTACTATGGGCAACCGAAAAGTGGGAAGAAATCTGCGCATGCATACTGGCAGGGCTACATGTCGCCTCAGAATCCTTTCATACCTTCCGGCTTCCTGGGGACTTGTCAATTTCCCCAGATCACAGCGGAAGGGTTGGACGATTCGTGGCAGCATGGCCATGATCTATATGGGGTGTATCATGATCTCCTGGGGTTCTTGCCAGACAATGCAGATGAGAAGGTTGCATTTAAGGTGACGCAGAATGTCATCACCAGTGAAGTGGCAGGAATGGTTCTCAATGGCATGTTTGGGACGCAGGAGGATTATCCACTGCTCGTGGCACCCAGTGGTTATGATCCCTTGGAACCAACATACCCGTGTCTCGTCTCATCAAACCTCTTTGCCGCCATCCAGTCCGGTGGAAACTGGACAAATCACCTGACGGCTGCAAGCTCATTGTACGCTACTCTGGATAACATCTCTGGAGTGTCGCCTAATGATTCCGGATTTCACATGAGCTTCGATCATTACTACGACAATCTTTCAGCCAGACAATGTCACGGCAAACCCCTACCATGCAAGCTCGTCGACGGGGTTAATTCCACCACCTGCGTCACCCAGGATATTGCAAATGAAGTCTACAGGCTAGGAAACTACGAATACTCCTTCATCTACCGCGACGACCCCCAAAGTCTCGCAGCAAGCGCGACCAGCTTCGGAGTATGGATCGGCGAGCTCACCAGCCACATCCGGGATTCCATAACCGGGAAAAGCAACGTCATTTACCGGCACAACGTTGCGCACGATGGTTCGATCTCGCGACTGCTCTCGGTCTTGCAGCTGGACGAGATGGTGTGGCCGGGAATGGGCTCTGAAGTCGTCTTCGAGCTATACAAGAAGGATCCAGCGCCCGCCACAACGGCGACAGCTACTGCTTCGGGCGTTGCCTCACCTTCAACATCAAGCGCAGAATCCCCGGGATCCATGAGCATTAACAGGTATTACATCCGTGTTCTGTGGAAAGGACAAGTGCTTCAGAGTTCGAACCCTGGTTTAGGGTTGATGGATATGGTTCCGCTGGAGACGGTGCTGGCGTATTTTGATGGATTGGTGGGGGTTGGTGCTGATTTGATGCAGGGGAAGTGCAACGGGACGGTTCCTGTGTAGATACTGTGGTTTATAATCCAACTAATAATAATAATAATAATGTATCTCACTAGTGCTACCTATAATGCTACCTAAAAGGGTGTTTCGTCCTAATCAACAGTTAAATCCGATAGTATTTTACGGCGCCGTCTCCATGAAATAATGAGAGTAAGGCATTTCATTTGGCCACCTTGGCTTCCGTGAGGCGGCAAAAGCAAGATGATTTAATAGGTATATCAGCACCATCCACAGCCTTTCTCAGCAGCGGCTCCAGATTCCTCGCCTCACTATCCATCCCAAGCCTACCCAAACACTCATGATACCCGCTCAACGCCCACACATTATTCAAATGTCTCAGCGGTCTCGGCACGCTATCATCAAAGCCCAGATCCGCAGCATACACCTGCAAAGCCTCCGTCGTCTTTCCCTGCTCCAACAACAACGCTCCGTACGCATGGCGAGTCGGCTGCATCCAGCCCCACGGCTCGTCGTACGGTAGCGCATCACCTAGTTCAACAGCCCTCTTCAGATATGAGAAAGCGGCATCGAAGTTCCCGCGTCGGTACTCGAGTTCTCCGTCTAGCATCGCGGCGGCTATGGCGAGGATATCGATGCATTTGTTGTTGAACAGCGTTCGCGATTCCGGGACCCGGAGGACTGCTTGCCTGAATAACTCTTGTTCTTTTGCGCTCTCTTGGATTCGCCCGGTAGCAGCGAACGCGACGCCATGTCCGTAGTGTATCATCGCTGTCGTGACGCGGTATAAGTCTTGGTTGGCAGGGAGTGGGAGAGTTGAAAGATCGGCCCACCGTCCGAAGCGCACCAAGACATGGACGCCTATGCCCCCGAACCCTTCTAAAAAATCCGGCATGGACTGGATGACTTCCTCCTTTAGTATGTTTTCGAGGTCATGGACGGTTGTTAGTGCAACGTGGGACTGGGCGGCGAACATGGCGGCGTATATCTTGAAATGGTGATTGTGTATTCTGTACAACGTATAAAAACCCCCTCCACTTTCTCCCCCGTCTCGCGGCTGAGAAAAGTATTTCTCGTCCGCGAGAACAGCGGCCCAGTTGGAGGAGATGGTGGATGCGTAGTCGCCGCATAGGATATCTATATGCGTGGGCATGTGCTGTAGATGTCCTGCGTCGGGCACGAGATCACGGAGTTTGTTGGCGTGCCTGAGGGCTATTTCGGGATGTGGAGACATTTCCATGAGGTGGATGTATAGGTGCAACAAAGATGGGTGTTGGAGGCCGCCTGGTAGGGAGCAGGCGGTTTCGAGGGTGGATTTTATGGTCAGGGTTGAGGCGCCTGGTGAGGGGAGACCGGTGGGTAGATCCCAGAGCGCCCAGGGAGTCAGGTTCATGAGCGCATCAGCGTAGAGGGCACACACATCTAGATCTTCTGGAAAGTCGGCGTGAACTTGCTCCATTGCGGATGAGTATGCTTTATTCCTCATCTCCAGCTGAACATCCACGTGGTACCGATGCTGTAGCGCTTCGATGATGGCTCTCTCAACGGGCTCCACGTTCACGCCATCCAACATGACCAATTCCTTTGCTTTTTTAGCAGCCGCTTGAGCTTGTTCCAGCTCGGGAGAAGAGACGTATTCCCATGGTTTGTTGTAGTTTGGTCCCATAGCGTAGGCGAGACCCCAATACGCCATTGCGCAGGTCGGGTCGGCGCGGGTGGCGAGAGTGAAGCATGTTGCTGCTTCCGAGTGGTTGAATGCGTAGCTCCAGATCAAGCCGTTGGTGAAGTGTGTTTGGGCTAAGTGGGAGCTGGTGGTTATAGGGCGGGAGTAGGAGCCTAGGTTGTAGTTGGGGTAGGTGGATGCGGGGTCCAGTTCCAGGCTCATTTTGGCTGATCGTGTGGGGGTAGTCTGTGTTGGTCTACCTTAATGATCTTGCGCTTAGGGGCATTGTTTTTTTTTTTAATGTTATGTGAGGGTTGAAGCATGCGATAGTTGAAATCTTGAGTAACACATTTCGTATATACCTAGGTAGAGAAAGAAGGTGGGGGGTTAAGGATAAAATACGGTGGCCGATACGACCCCTTTCGCGGTAGACAGGAACAGCAGCACCAATTTATATTGTGGCAGGTGGCGTGGAACATTAAGAAATCAATACAAGTTCTTAATACTATACGTCTATCTATCCAACATAAAAATATCCCACATTTATCTAATCCCAATAACCCGCCTTATACTTCAAGAGTTAGGACGCGCCAGACTCTAGCAAGCCCCTAAATGCTTAGCGAACCAAGCCCTTAGTTTTAGTAGATGGTAACCTTTAGCGAGTTCGAGGCAGGGGAATAGGGGCATGGGCCTGTTGCAGATAGAAATAATAGTACTTTCTCCCAACTCTACAATGTCTCACTGGGGCTGAAATATTAAGTGAGGGTAGCTTTACTTTCTAAGAGATGGCTTTCAAATGCAGAAAAGGGGCTTTTTTATTGATTGGCTTGCTAATTTCTATTCTGGCTTTTCTTTCGCGCTTTGGGGAACTGATATTCGCTGTGTTTCCGGAAAGTTTCATTCTGTGCCTGAAACTACCCATTCCAGAGATAAATGTAGAAGAGCGCTGCTACGGACCCCGAGCTAACTCCCCAAAACAGTAGAGCAATCTTGGCATTGGGACAGGAAGCGGGTGCTCTGAACTCAGGGATGCCAACGTTCAAGCTATTCGGCAATCATTTCTAACCACCACTTGATAGAGTTACGATCAAGATCCCACCAATTGTCCGTCTCCTCCATATCTGAAACCCTGATAAGATCTCCATCAAGAGTACAGTAAACCACGCCAGGATCTTCACCGTCCATGCTGGAAATATACGAGTGGCACCCCTTGTTTTGATATGCTTCGGTAATAGTAGCATGTTCCTCGAATATTTGAAGTTCAAGATGAGAGAGACGTCCAGGGGATGCCTCCTCCTCTATGGTTTCTTTTACTGTGCGAACAGCACGCTCATCCCAAGCATATGCCGACGCAGGTCCTGTGCAGATGACAACAATGTGTCGAAGACGGGTGAATTTCGACAGAGTTATAGCCATTGGTTTCAAGAGTGGCTCCTGCAGCACAGTATCAGAATACTTTATGCCACAGAGATAAAATGGGGGCTCGAAACCAGCGACTTACCTCGCTACCTGGGGCAACCGATGGTATATCGAAACTGAAGTATAGGAAGGTCAGATGAGGACATGACTCCTGAACTCGATTGAGGTCTGTAGTGTTAATCGTGAAGCCTGCCCAGTGCTGCTCAAATCCCATAACCAAACGTGTCAGGGTTTTACCGTGCTTTGCCAATGCTTCCGCTATGTACTTCAAGCCCGAACAGTTTACATTGACACTTGTAAGACCATGAAGCCTCTCAATGAATTTGGCCAGTCCCTTGCCAGCAGTGATCGGCTCATCGTCGCCGGTGTTCAATAGAGTGAAGTTCCTGAGGGCTGGAAACATATTGGGGGAAACAGACTGCAAGAAAAAATGCACGTCAATGTTTGACAGACCAAGTCGCGTCAGTTGGGAGAAGTCCCAAATTTTCATGGTCTGATCAAGCGAATATGACCAACCGCGGAGGGAGACATGTTTCAGTGGAGGTAGCCTGCCATTCTCGGCGCGGAAGATGAACTGAGACGATGCATGAAATGTGCGCAGAGACCTTGAGGACACGAGAAGACGATTGAAAAATGCCTGATTGGAAGGCCCGACTATCTTACGTGCGTCTCGTACGGATACAATGCCGGAGGCAGGAAAGAAGTCGGATGTCCCGGAGGGGAAGTCTGCCTCATCCAGTTGTCCGTTCTGATTGTTCATGAGGCTTTGTTGCGCAGTGCTTGCTGGCAGGCGGATATGAATGGATACTTTAGGTAACATCTTCTCGAGTGCGTCGTGTACTATAGTTGGAATAGTGCAGGATGTTGTCGGGAAATATGACCACCTATTCAAATAATAAGATAGTGCACAAACATTTGATACTGAAGAAGCAATTACGCAACATACACTAGATGTTGTAAGACTCTACAATCAACCATTAGTATGATTGCATGGCGCCAATTTAGTCGTGTCCTGATCCGAACCACCCTGCAATTTGTACGAACATGCTGAATGATCCTCTCCGCAACTTGGTCTGGATGACGAGTTACCAGGCCTGGAGATAGAGTGACTCTTCGGTATAGTAGTGGAATGACAATAGCATTGAATGCGGCTGATACAAGACGTAGACCTGTCTGTGTATCATTGGGCTGTAAAGTGAACGAATCAGTATGGAGGTGTAAGTAAAACATTCTCAAGGCGTTCGCAACTTCCATACCACATTTTGAAAGATAATCTCCTAGATCTCAATACCCCAAGGTTCATCGCTGCGTGGCCCCTGAGGCGCTATAATTTTGTTCGTCTCTGTGCTTGAGATCGGGGATCTGGGTAGTGTCTCGGTTTCAGTGGCTGCTTCCGATGGGCTGGATGGTGCAGCTTCGTCGTCCGTGGTGGATGAACTCGAACTGGCGCCAGAGGATTGTTTCTCCATTGTGGCAAGTCGTTGATACAAATATTCTGGTTGATGATACTGTATTTATGTTTGTGTATGTTTGATGTTGGTGTTGAAGAAGGAAAGTGCGGTCGTATGTGAAGACGCGTTGTTCACAGCAGAGGTCACGTGTCGCACCCACTTCCATAGCTACCTAGGTGCTGGTGGTAGACGCCAGGTCGCAAGTTAAAACCTCTAAATGTTCACGGATATATAATAATTTATTCAGTCTCTTGTGCTGTTAGATTCTGGGAAAGTGCCGTAAACATGGCATCATGGTTGCACGTGATGCCCTCATCCTCTTCTGAACAGCGGCAAGTTAGGCAAGTGCAATACCAACAAGAGTCCAAAATTATCTTCACATGCTTGGAGGTTTCCTTTGGAACATACTCGAGTATGCCAAGTCTTTCCGCATTTCAGAGGGAACGTAGCTCTGTATTAAAGCATATTTCCCTCTAGATGTTCTTTGTCGAGCTTCGAAGGTAGGTGACTGTTCTGAGCGTAGTGTTAGACAGGTGTGTTTGGTAATTCAGGAGGAAGTGACTCTCATCTAGATCGTTTGCTGACGGGACGTGATTGACCTTACTTGTCTCGCACTATGTGAAACAAATGATCCACCGAGTGCTGATCTATGTTGCCACCGCTACGGAGAGAAGGACTATACGACTTAACCAATAAAAACCATTGGCCCCGCCAGGGATTGTTGTTTCGTGATGCATTATTCATTAATCATACGCTAAAGTTGTAGCGTGGCCTGATCCAGGCACAATCTATACTACAAAACAATACAATGGGTAAGGGACATCCAACAAGTCAAAACACACCTACTGCCATGTATGTACAAAAGGCATCTCATATGGGTTTTCACTATACTCACCCTCATCATGCTCATTGAAGTCGTATCCCTCCGCGTTCGGCGGTTCTTGCATATCCGACGTCCACATGCCGTTATTCTGACTTCCTGCCCCCAGCGCTTGCGAGACCTTCAGTTCTTTTTGCCCTTCTTCTCTATCCAGAAGTCCCTTCTCGAGAGTTGTTCGTACGCTGTCATCTGTATCATAAGCTGGCTCACCAAGGCCATTTTCGTTAATCATTAAACCATTGCGTTCACAAAATTCCAGAAAAGCCTTCCAATTGGGGTCCTGGAGCAGTAAATCCTTCTTTCCAATGACAATTAGTCCAAACTTCGCTCTGGTGAGGGCCACATTCATCTTATTCGGCATGCCGATAAGACCCCAACCAAGCTCTTTGTCCTTTTCCACATATTTTTCGCGTGATCGGGTCGTACAGATGATAACAACACCACGTTCGAGGCCCTGGAAAATTTCGGTGGGTCCAATATCGACATCCCAGAAGACACCACCATAATCTTTACCGCGCATGACTTTTCGGAGGTATTGGACCTGTGCCTTGAAAGGACTCATGATGCAAACTTCCTTTGGCCCCACAAGTTCTGATCGAACCAGGCTTGCGGCATACCAGCAAGCAAGTCGAGCTTCACCGGAGTTGAACCAACCACCACCATCTGAGTCCATGTCATCCGGCGATAAGTTGTTATGGAATTGGACAGGCCATTTCTTGCCCTGCCATTGAGACCAAGAAGCGAGACGATCGGTTCCTGGAGCCTCGGCCAGAAGTGTATCATTGTAAAATACTGATGATGGAACGGCGAGGATTGCGGGATGAGATCGGTAGTTGCGAACGAGATTCGCAAAAGCTGGACGAAGCATTGGCAGCATGGATTGGTTGAGTATCGGTGGTGCCTTTCCGGTCTTGGCTCGTGCAACAGGGTGTTCGGCGTACACTGGCCTAGCGAAAAGGCGTGCGAAAAGGGAATTCTTTAAAGGAGAAGATTGCAGAGACAGGTGGGGACCCAGTTGATGATCATCGCCAGCCATTACGAATAAGGGAGTGGATGGTAGCTGGACAGACTCCAAAGGTGGCGCTACAATGAAAAGTGGAATTAAGGCTTCTGGCTCCATGGCTTGCGCCGCTTCATCCATGAGAAGAGCAGTCCAGTGAAGTTTGGTGGAGAATGATTCGGATTCATCTGGGTGGATAGCAGCAACAAGGCCGTGTTCGGCGGCATACAAATCGGAGTTGGTCATTCGCGTGCGTATAAGTAAGGAGGCATCGCGACATGTGGTGACTACAATATTGTACGCCATCAGTTTCTTAAAAGGTGGAAGCGAAGGTGCGTCATTCAAGACAAAGCAATACGGAAGGACAGTGCCAGGTACTTCTGTGAATGCTCGCGACGATCTGTTCAACCTAAACATTTGATTTGGGTCGAAATGAGATGCTAGAAGCCGAACAAGAGTATCTGCTGCAGGATCGGAAGGCGCACAGAAAAGGATATGTGCAACATTGTTGACGTTCTTGACGAGTTGAATTGCAAGCTCCACTAAGGTCTTCGTCTTGCCAGTACCAGGAGGACCAGATATGAGAAACGGCAGGGTCCAATAGTTGTGCGCTCTGACACTCTCAATAGCCTTTTCTTGTTCCCAGTTCAGCTCGCTATCAAAGAGTAGTCGACTAAAAAATAGGTTGTTGAGTGACGTCTGCAATTTAGAATCTACCTCTGTAGGGAAAAGCATTGAACGGATCCAATGATGATTTTGAGGAGAATCTTTAGAGAAAGATGAGATACTGGATTTACTGAATAACCTAGTGGAAACAGTCATAATTTGACGCTCGTTTGTATGCATGACCATCCGCAGAGCTCGTTGTATTGCGGGCAAGACGAGCCATGTTGAGGAAAACCGCTCTTTGGGGACAGGAAATTGAACGTTAAACCTCAGACGATGGACCTTGAAATTGGCATTCCGCTGTTGAGATCGCACCTCTCGAGGCTGAAGACTCGGGCCAGAAAGTCTGACCAACAGTGTCTCATTTTTTCGCTGAATGCTAGAAACTCGACCATTGTAGGATACACCCGTCCATTAAAAGTCAGAATGTTTATCTCTTTGGCGGGTTAATCCGGACGTTTGGGGTATATGAAGATCCTCCTGAATTTGGCGAACGTGGACAACGTCGTCGACTTCAATATACGGACTGTTTTCTTGCAGACCAGGGACCTTGAAAGACACAATCTGTAAGTTTGTCGTATCGCCATAATGGGCATATAGCGCGTAAGAAGCATTTTGACGTTGCTGTGCTTGTAGTTCTGCTCTGATATGATATTCAAAGTAGTGTTCATAGTGTTCTTGCGAGCCGACTGCTGGGTCAAACGAGGGATCCGGAGGCGTAGGCTGGATGGAAGGTGGGAGAAATTGATCAGGAAGCGATCCTTCAATATATCTCCGGAAGTCAAGTTGCTTTACAGGGGGCGTGTCGAAATTAGGCCCGGGTAACTCATTTATGCTGGTGAGAGATTTTGGTATGAACGGGCGAGCGTAGGCGTCCAATTCTGGCGAGGCTCTTCCAGATACAGCAAGGGACTGTTTAGGTGCGGAAGTAATAGCATCTAGGATGAGATCTTAATCTCAGTACCAAGCCTTTGACGGAATAGTAGTAATTATCCATGAATTTCAGACGCGAAAAAAGCCTCAAACTCAAAGTGTCGCTAGAACAAAAATGACTCAACTGGAACCTAGGTACATACTGATTTCCTTCACTGCTTTCACCGAACAAGACCGAGAGCTGGCTCTGGAGCTCTTAGTAGGAGGTTGTACTAAGAGGGAGGCCGGAGTAGAGTTATTCGGCTTTTGCACAGATGGAAGGGCTATAGGGTCCCCAGTCTTCGGGTCAATAAAAACTAAGGCCTTACTAGCTTTGGATGGTCGGAGGAAAGTTGTCTGCGGATGCTGGTCCATGATGGTCTCTGCGTAAGGTACCTCATGATAAGGTTAGGTACCTAGTAGATGGAGTGGAATGTCCGAATGGGCAGAAGTGGAGTGGAGTGGAGTGGAGAGACCTTGTAAATGACGAATATCTGCTGACCAATCGTCTCGCTTAATGTACGCTGGAGCGCATTTATTCTGAACTTGAAGGCATTCTCACTGCAGTTCCAGCGCAGTTTTAGTGTTTGTTCATTTATAGCCTTTATTTATCTCACTGGGTACCCAACCTACCTATCCACCTAAGATACGCCAGTAATTAAAAAGACCCTGCTTCATTTATTCGTACAAACAGAAAATAAGACTTTCTAAATACTGGTATCAAGAACAAAATAGATCGGATTTCTTTTAGATTCTGGACAATAAGGCTTCATTTTGTCTATTATTATTCTATATGGGGTCTCAACTCACAAGGCCCTGCTTTTGCGTGCTATTGTTTGCAGACTATTCATTTTCACAATAAAAGTTCCCCTCAGTCAGATTACGGCCCACCTATTTTCATCTCCAAGGCGATCGGTCTGATAGGTATTCGTTTTCTTCTTATTTAGCTCCAGAACAAAGTCTTCGCCCAGTTCAATCACTGGGTGCATAGTTAACAATGGTAAATACCCAAATTGACGGGAGATACCACTGCTAACCTGGCCAAAGACTGAAAACTTTAAATGCTGGGTGACCGGCTCGGCAGCCCCAGGTTGCAGAACCTGGTTGCTTCACGCCTGATGTCTATTTTAGTTGATGTAGATGTGAAAGATCTTGAGGCTTTCATGCATTTCAGCCATGATCAAGACCCTGCAAATCGATAAGAGGACACTACTGTCACAGAAAAGATACTTTACGCCAAGTTCTCTTTTACTAGAAAAGAAACATTAGATGATTGTGGATACAAAATGCTTCCTAGGCTGAAGCACAAGCTAGAACGTGGAACTGGCTTGCCAAAACCGCCGCTGTGGTGGAAGTACAATATGGAATTCCAAATTAACCCGATGTATTATTTCCAGGGGCTTCAAATCATGGATGTGATTGTAAATGAAAACATACGAGCACATCGACCTGACTTTGAAGCAAAGCCAAAATTCTTCCACCACGAAACGGTTATCCCAGTCGGTACTACCAATTTTAAATAGGCTGCAGAGCCAGTTTTGAGTTGTGGTTGTGATTCTGATTTTCATCCTGGATGGGCTCTAATCAAGGTCCCTCCTATCTTCCAAGTTTGAGACATGCACTTCTTGCCATATATACCTAAATAATTATCCATTTCATCCATATACTACTACTAGCCTGTGAAAATCCACTAGATATGCGTCAAATGATCCCAGGGGCTGTCGGGCGTCATGGCGCTGGGAGGTGTTATGATCTATTATTCATGGACTGCAAGGAAAGTGATATTTTTACCTTTGTGAATGAATTTTGGTGGTGTACTTACGGAGAAAGCATGAAGTTGCAGAGGCGCTGGGGGTGCGTCAAATGAAGATAATAACATGCCCTGTTTGAAGCCGTTGGAGATAGTATCTCAAATGTTTCGCGGGATAAAGTAGATGCGGCAAGTGAATGTATTTTATGCCCACCAACTTTAACAAAGTAAATGTTCTGGTTCGAAGTGAAGTTACCCCCTTTTGTTGTCGTCGTGGTCGTGCATTTATCACTTCGCTTCAATGACTGGGTGTGGGTGTATCTATTTAACATCAACCCTATATATCTAGCGCCTTGGCAGTCACGTCCACACGTCTCCTTTCCCAAGGTCAACATTCATCCAAACTATCAAACCAGAAAGCGCAACAAATACACGCCCCAGGTCCCGAATCCTATAATAATGTTACTCCAATGATCTACGCATCATGTCTGACCTCAGAATTGGCCAGACTGTTGAGCTAGCCGACGGCCGAAGCGCCATAATCCGTTTCGTTGGACAACCTCATTTTGCGGCAGGCGACTGGATCGGAGTTGAGCTCGAAGATGACAGTGGCAAGAACGATGGCAGCATACAAGGAGAACGATATTTCGACTGCGAAATGGGGAGGGGCATGTTTCTACGGCCACCAGCTGTGCGGGTCACTGAGCAGCCAGCTGCTGTGCCGAAGCCTGCCCCTGCCGTCGCGAAGAAGGTGTCAAGACCCAGCACTGTCGCTGGTCGAGGTGCGCTGGGAAGGAGACCGAGCGCTGTACAAGATATAGCAGCTGGTAAAAGGCAAAGCATGAATGCAGCAAGTCCTACTCCTGCAAGTCGGGGCTCTCGTCCTTCTAGTATGCTTCGAGTAGGTTCCCCTGATGAGCAAGAGCTCATACTCTTTTTTTTAACATGATCTAGTCTCCCACAAAGTCTCCCACCAAACAGCTATCCGCTGGAACATCTACGGTTTCAACGCCAAGGACCGGAACTCCCTCAAATGCTCGGGCACCAGCCGCAACAACCACGAAGTCACGGCCCAGCGCCAGCGTGAATCGGACATCTATGGGCCCGCCAGCTATGCCTGCATCAAGGACATCAAGACAATCTCTTTCGGGCGGCCCAGGGGTGGGAAATAGGGCGTCGATGCCTCCCAACAAAATTGCGAGCAATCGAGTATCTCTTGCCCCGAAACCGAAGCTACGCCCCGGAGTGGAGAGAGTCGGTCCAATCGGTAGCCAGCTAAGCGGCGGTCAGGCAAGTGGGGGCAGCGGGCCCAATACTCCGGTCGATGACTCGCCGAATAAGACAGAGAGTTTTGCCCCAAAGGCCATGAGCCCGGTGCTTACTCGCGTTTCTGCTGCGGAACGTCGTCAAGCATCTCCAGCTGCTCCTAGAAGCACGGGTTCCCCTGCGTCTCAAAGAGCTTCTGGTGTAAATACTGCCGCCAACCGTGAGATAGAAGATCTCAAGACGAAGCTTCGTGTAATGGATAAGAAGCGGCAGGAGGATAGGGAGAAGCTGAAAACCATGGACCATGAACAAGCAGAAAAGGAAAAGTTTCAAGCTTTATTCATTAAAGTGCGGGATAAAGTCCTCCCCCAGCAAAATGAAATTACGGACCTTCGAAAGCAACTCAAGGAAGCCGAATCCAAGTTTGAATTCATTGAGACCATGCAGGCAGAGCATGAAGAGGTGCTTGAAATGGCAATGCTCGACCGGGAGATGGCAGAAGAAACAGCGGACGTATTGAAAACGGAGTTGGACGCTCTGAAAGAGAAAGCGGAGATGCTCGAATTAGAGCTTGACTTAGCAAAGGAGGAGAATGCAGAACTTGGCGGCGAAATGAGCCCCGAAGAGAAGACAAACCAGGGTTGGCTGCAAATGGAAAGGAGCAACGAGAGGCTACGGGAGGCTCTCATTCGACTGCGCGATATGACGCAACAGACAGAATCTGAATTGCACGACCAAATCAAAAGCCTAGAGGAAGATGTGCGGGAATACGGTGTCGTGAAGGAGAAATATGAAGCAGTCAAAGAAAAGCTGGCACAATCTGAAGCTGGCATTGAGGATCTACGACAACAGCTTGACAATGCTCTTGGTGCCGAGGACATGATCGAAGAGCTAACTGACAAAAATATGTCAATGAGCGAGCAGATCGAGGAGTTGAAAGTCACTATAGACGATCTCGAGAGCCTGAAGGAGCTAAACGACGAGCTCGAAATCAACCATGTTGAGACGGAGAAGGAAATGCAAGAAGATATCGACTTCAAGGACACTATTATCGGTGAACAGACGCGTCGCGCGGCCCAACAGGATGAGGCATTGGAAGACATGGAATACACATTGTCACGGTTCCGTGAGCTTGTCACAAATTTGCAAAGCGATCTGGAGGATATGAGAGCTTCACACGCAGTGACAGAGACTGAGTCTGAGCAGTTGAATAGCCGATCTCGGGCAATGATGGATTTGAACATGAAGCTTCAGGTCTCGGCGGCGAAGACGCAAGTGAAGACTATTGATCTCGAACTCCGACGACTGGATGCGCAAGAAGCTGCCGAGCATTTGGCCATTGTGCAACTGTTCTTGCCCGAGGCCTTTCATAGCGACAGAGATTCTGTTCTTGCCCTTCTTCGCTTCAAGCGCGTTGGATTCAAGGCGAATCTTCTTCATGGCTTTGTGAAGGAAAGGGTCAACGCCCAGCCACCTCTGGGGCATGAGGATGACATTTTCTTCGCTTGCGACGCTCTCGATAAACTTGCGTGGGTGGCTGCTATGTGCGATCGATTCGTTAATGCTATTAGCCACTGCTCAACTGAGGAGTTTGCAAAATACGAGGGCGCTTTGTACGAGCTAGAACCTGTGGAGAGAGCCCTCAATGGGTGGATTGATGGACTACGACGAGATGAGTTGAAAGAGAGGCAGTGCGCAGATGAGTTGCAACGTACTATTGCATTAATGTCTCATCTGGCCGAAGTGCACATTTCGAGCGGTCTTGCAAGCTATGCCGATGATGTTCATATGCGCACCCTCGTCATGCAGAGTCATCTCGAAAATGCTGCTGCTGCAATGTCAGCCTTAAGAGCTATCGTCCAAGCCGCTATTCCTACCCAGGGTGATGAGGATGAGCATGCTCAACATTTTGCCAGAAAGACGGAGACTGTCATTACATCCACTCGTAGCGCCAAAGTAGTCGTTGGTAAAGCTGTCAGAGCACTTGAAGATCTCAAGACTCGCTCCTTGTCTCTCACTTTTGATACTATCCAGACCTTTGAGCAATGCGAAACCGCCACTCAAGAACTTGCTGGATTTTCACGACAAATTGGACATGACATTTGCACTCTGGTACATGAAGAGGGAAGAACAGATCCATTTACTTACCTTGACATACAGAGCACTGTACATCGAACCACGACCAACTTGTTTGCTTCCAGCGAATCTGACTTGTTTTCTACCTACTCCAACAAGCTCCGTACGCTGACTAGTTCTTTGATGGATCTCGCCGCTTTGACGTCAGATCTTGAAATGACCCAAGAGTTTGAACGTGCTTCCGCCCCATGGGTTCTCAGATCGCAAGAACTCAGATCCTCGAAGACGGTATCTGTGGACGCAGAGGCAGAGATCCATCGTTTGAAGGACGACAACCACGAACGAGCACGGCTGATAGCCATGCGAGATCAAACTCTCGAGGAGTCTTCCGTTAAGATAGAGCTTCTGGAGAGTCGTATGAGAGATGCGACTAAAAAGAATGAACGTATCACCGAGCTGGAGAAAAAGATCGAAGATGCCAAGAAACGAGAGACTGAACTCTCTGAGTCCATTGAAACTCAAAATAAGGACCTTGCTACCCTTGAAGCCGACCGTGAGAAGTGGAAGAAGGTTGCGGAAGATACCAAAGCACTCGGCATCGTAGCCCCCGGCTCCAAAGCCGGCAAAGAACGTGCCGTTGCTACAGCACGAGAAATGGAAGCCCTTAAAACCGAAATTGCTAGTCTCCAAGCTGCAGTCTGCTACCTCCGCGAGGATAATAGACGTGCGCGAGTTACTGGCTCAGATGGTCTCGAATTCCTCGCTGTTCCGTTGACAAAACCGAAATCCACGGAAGAACAGCGCAAAGCTCTTGTCCTTGCAGAAGGCCAAGATGTTCTCAATGAATTGCTTGATCTTACCAGCACTGCCCAGATCTATGACTTCAACAGCATCCCAAAAAATCGCCTTGCCTGGAGACCAGCGAAATCTACGCCGCAGTACCACGTCGCGAAACAGCGGGAAGATTATGAAGCTTGGAGTGGGTGGAAAGATGCAGTGGTTAAGAAAGCAAATGTGCTTGCTGAACGGAATGCTAATCGTGGGGTTGGGATGGAGAAGAGGTCGAAAATCATGGCTGCCAGGGTTGCGCTGAGGCTACCCGACTTGGAGAGCAAGGGTGTGAGTAAGGGCAGGGAAGTTGAGATCGTTGATCCGGATGACTTTGAGGGACTTAGGGGCAGACTTGGGTTTGTCTGATTTTAAGGCGCTTTTGTTCTATACCCTGGAGAGCTGGCTACTGGCTTGGATTGGAACATAGATACACCGGTCTAGGAGGTGACATGAAATGTGGTTGTGTTCAAATGTATATGTTCCAGGCCATAGTCACACTGGCGAATCCTATGTTGATTATGAGGCAAGCTTATGTTTACACATAAAATCTAAACTATTCAAGAAATATGATTTAAATGTCCGAGTGTTTGCAGAGTTTGCAGACTTTAGCAGTGTAACTGCACTTTGAGAATCTTGAACAGCCATCCAACTATATTGCTTTTATTTCCACGTTCTCATTCATAAGGAGACAGTCTACTCTCACCTTGGGACAATTAGCCTTATGACTTAGCGACAGCTTTTTGAAACCTTTTTATGAAGTGAAAGCGCCAGGTTTTCCACCGGAACTTATCAACTTGCATTCACCCACCAAGCTACAAACAGCAATTCACATTCCCTCTGAACAATAAGCTCCACTCTTTATTATATTTTGACGAGGAAAACCTTTCGCGTCAAGTCACGAGCCAACTCTGGACCGAGAACTTGACGATTTCCGCAAGGATGGATTTCTCGATACCTCCAACTGCGATGGGAGGACCGCGGGATTACAAGCGTGATGCGTCAGACTCTGAAAGTGAGGACGAGAAGTTCGTGATCCCGGATGCGAATGGGGCATCACTACGATTGTCACCCCCACCAAAAGCATGGGAAAGACCTAAGGTGAAGGTCAAGGTGGAAACGATGTACGATGGAGCTGCTGCCAACCCGCACCAAGCCATGGCAGCAATGGGCGAGTTTGATGAGTCGAATATCGTTCCGGGGAGACGGCATGGCCGCGTGAAGAAGGAGAATGGAGTGGAGGTGGAGATAAAGGTGAAGGTGGAGGGAGATATAGATTTGGATATGGGTGGTGAGATGAAGGGGCCGAGTGCACCAGCGCGCAAGAGAAAGCCGACAAAGAAGAGCAGATTGAGGAAATTGAACAATAACAGCACAGTATCTCCTGCCGAAAAGGTAGCTGGAGCAGTAATCCAAGCGGTATGTCACATACGTTACCTAATGCGTCCTGTCGACTGATATGTTTTTAGGCACGCATGGCCGAGAAGAAAGCACGCAGAGAACACAGCTTATACAAAGAGGCTTCCCATAGGGCACGAGAGCTGGAAATTGCTGTCGGTAATGGCAGTCTCGAGGGCCTTAGTAAGTCGGCGATTCCGAGGGTTAATAATTTGAAAGGGGATGAGATGACGAAGATGTTTGCTCTTGCGGGTTCGATGTCTCTTGAAGCTAAACTACCCCCGACTGAACCCTCCGTGGTTGAACCATCCGTGATTGAACCCCCCACGAATGAATCATTCACGGCTGAACACTCTGCGGACGAACTCCGACGACAACGAGTCGCCAGAGAACTACAAGTGTTCTTAGCAGAGGGTGGGAAACAGGCTTGGGATGATCGTGTGACCTCTCAATTTCAAGGCGCAGAGAATACCGAGACACCTCCAGCAAAGCGGGGTTTACCATCCAATACCCCCACTGGTCCCAGGCAACCCAATTGGAATTTTTCACATCAAGATTCTATGGAGATGACCGTATGTTTCACAATTCAATTTCTTATTCTATGGTATAGTTCTTTGATGTGTTCTTTAGGCAACAACAAGTAAGGACAGAGCTACAAAACTACTAGACAAAAAGCGCAAAAGATTGATCCGCGAAGAGCAGAAAGCTGCCAAGGGACGCGCGGGTATACCTACAGAAAATGGGGATTTCGAGAGTGATTCGGCCATCAGGGCTAGGGTGACATTGGAATTGGATCTTGCCTTGAGTGGTGCCAAGATTGAATACACGAATAACGGGGAAAAGAAGAGAATGGGCAGATGGCGCAAGGCTTGGTTGTCCAAGGACCCCAGTGTACCTCATCCCGAATTTCATAAGATGCTGGTAAGTGCTCGTCCCTTGATGCCTGAAATCACTGACTGACGGGGCCCAACAGGCGCAGGCGTTGGAACAGGAGATGCGACGAACAGATGGCCGAATTCGCCAGGCGGCAAAAAGAGAACGATGGAGCTGTATCTTCTGCTTTTTCACAGATGGAACTGGGAGAGGAGCATGATGCAAACTGAGCCGATTATCTACGAAGGAGGTTGAAATGTGTACAATGACTTGTATATGATATAACGAGATGCCAAAACCAATATAACTCCTATAGTGCTTTACGGTCGTGTCCACAACAAGAAAATGTATCGCGCGAAGCAGCACCGATTTATACTCGAGTAATGTTCCCAGGTGGCGTGGAACGTTAAGATCGATGAGAATAAGTGCCGTATAATTGGGGCTCTGTTGCAGGGAAGGCCGTAAAAACACTGCAAGAGATAATGGAAGACTCTTTCCTAAGCACGAGTACGTACCTATTTTTAGAACTCGCTTTAAATAGGGGGGTTGATGAGGCGCAATTGCCCGCTAAATCAATTCGGTGCATGCATGTCAGCACGCGACCCCCTGCGACATGTATGTCACTCCAGACAACATTTAAGCCCATCACGTCCTTCTTCCATTCCACCACAAAGCCAACACTACCACCATGTCCTCTACATATTGATAACCCGAATAATGCTCTTCTCTTCTACATCTGTACTTTTTAAACATTATGCGACTTTTACTTTTGACGGCCGCCGCGACGGCTGCGACGGCGGCTTATGTACCAGGAAAGGCATTCGATAGATTCATCACGATATGGCTGGAGAACCAGGTCAGGCACTCTCCCTCCCATAGATAGAATGGCATGTATTGACTTATGCGACAGGACTTTGATAAGGTGGACAAGAATTCCCACTTTGCAGACCTCTCGAAACAAGGCATCCTACTCACCGAATACTACGGCCTCACACATCCCTCGCAACCGAACTACATTGCTTCTGTGGGCGGCGACTACTTTGGCTTGAACCAGGATGGCTTTGTGCAGATCCCACAAAATGTGTCAACGCTGGTCGACTTGTTTGATACGCAAGATATAAGTTGGAAGGGCTATTTTGAAGGGTTACCTGGTCCGGGCTTTATGGGGGAGGGGAGTACGGCTTTTGATGGATCGGGGTGGGACTATGTTCGGAAACACAAGTGAGTATCTGCGGTTATCTTGGATGAGCATTTTTGCTGATCACTGCAGTCCCTTCATCTCGTACGATAGCATCAGCATGAACGGAACCCGGCTGGGGAACCTCCAGAGTTTCAAAGACTTCGAATCCGATGTCGAGGCGAATACTCTTCCTCAATACGCCCACATGTCTCCGGATATGCTGAACGATGGACATAATACGACTTTGGAATATGCTGCGAATTGGACACAGTCTTTTATTACCCCTTTGCTTGCGAACGAGCAATTCATGGAGAAGACGCTAGTCCTCCTCACCTACGACGAGAGCGCTACATACCCGATACCCAACCGCATCGGATCCCTCCTCCTCGGCGGGGCTGTTCCAAAGGAACTACAGGGCACAAACGACAGTACGCTCTACACCCATTACTCCATCCTCTCAACTCTAGAAAACAACTGGGGCCTCCCAAATCTCGGGCGCTACGACGTAGGAGCAAATGTCTTCGACCTCGTAGCTAACAAAACAGGCTACGTAAACCATGCACCGGAGAACATCGCTTCGGTCAACAACTCTCTTTCCTACGCCGGCTTCCTAAACACCGACCTAAAACTCAACAAGCCCATTCCGGCACCCAACCTACAGCTCATCGGCGCAGGTGGGAAAGGCGTAGACGAGACAGTGAAATCAAATTGGGGTGAAGCAGCAGGAGATATGACGCCCTATGATGGCAGCGGCTATCTACATGATGGGGGGAATGGGACGGCGGATCCGAATGCGCCGGTATATAAAGCGCAAGCTCCAGCGGCAGAAGTAACAAGTACACCGAGTTCGACAGGCTCGGCACCGACTGCGACGGCGGGTAAGAAGTCGCGGGCGAATCGGATGGTCACTTTGGACATCAATTGGGCAGGGGTGGGATTTGGTGTCTTTGCTATTGCGGCATTTGTATTTTAAGCGGATTGCGTCGGATTGCATGGGCTGGGATAGCATGGGAGGGGATGATACCAGAGGGATATCGTGCGATTATGTGGTTATATGGAGTCCAAGATTTACGAATAGAATTTTGATGATACGGAAGAACTCTGGAGTCTCAGGTGAGGAAATCAGCCTTGGACACTTATTGCAGCTTCGAGCTAGGGATGGAAGATTTTCTTTAGCATCATTCTCCTTTCTACGAGTGTAGAGAGACAGATGACCACTTCTTGCTTCATACAGCCCTGGAGTCCGGGGAGAAAAGTTGGGCCATCTGCCAGGATAGATTCTTCTGGCAAAACTGCGCCTTAGTGTCCTTGTGCTACTACTCCCAATACAGGGCTGGTTGGGTGAGGAAGATGTCGGGAGTGATGAGATGGTTTATAGGGTGTGGATTCTAGATAGAGGGTTGGTGGCATGGGAGGGTTGCGGTGGATGAATGCAGGAAGTTTCGGGTCGGCTTAGCCTTGAAGATGCACAAGTCCCTTCCGCGTGGCGTCTCATAATCATGAAAGACTTTCAAAGTTGTGAAGATGGGAACCCTCATCCAGCCTTGCTTAAAAAAAGAAGGGATTTTGATACACTTATTGTCTATTACTGTCTTATTAGGATGCTTTCTGGCGTGTTTATTCGGGGCCTGCGCCAAGTTCCTTGTCGTCTATTGTTGCTCTAAGTCTTTGTTGTGTCTTGGTCTGAGTTGCTTGATCTAGTCAATTGCATCGAAGAATCGAAGAGTGAAGTTTGAAATGAGTCATGCGCTTTTTGAATATACCAGGAGTTCTGAGAGCTCAAAGGAGTTTCCCAGGCCCGATACTCAGTCTGCATAGGACCGTCAACTGTTTAGTTCATCCAGTTACCTGTATTGCCTTGTACAGAAACCCATTCCTCGTTTCTTTGAAAACGAAAAAGCCTGAAAGATTATCCACAGCAAATGCAAGTGCGGGGTCACAATCACATGGCACCAGTAGGGATGCCCCCCTCCCCTATGCCTGAGACATTTTGTTTGACCGTTCTCCAAACTTCTCCCTATCCTTTCAGTCGCTAGCTTTTCTTAATCCTTCTCTATGGTCTCACAGTAGCCGCCTATCCGTATCAATATCCAAGCCACAGACCGTGCTTCTTCCCCAGCTTCACCACTGCCATCCTTTGATCGCAGCAACAACACCGGGAATTTGTGTGGAGTTTAACACTAAGTGGTTATGTGCATTCTCCTGCATGATTTATTGTGCATTGAAGCAGGCAGGCGAAAGATGAAAACGGTTCTCTCCAGTTCTTTGCACAGCTGGCTATACATGTACTTTGCAGCATCAGGCAACACCACACTTCGTTTGGAAGATGCAGAAACCCCCTTGGAGTGCCTCTCACTAAATCCCAAAGGCGAACGCCGTTCTTATCCTTAGAATTTGTTAGTCGTTTGGCTTGATGTCTGTTGCGCATTTTTCTGAGAAGGCTCTATAACCCAGAATTGTGATCACCTACGCGTACGCCCTCACTGAACCAACTTCACTTCTGAAAATGCCGGTGCAAATGATGCAGAACTTGGACCACAAGTATACCTGGTTGTTCCAGCCTCCAGTCTCACCTTTGCAGTACGTGCTGTACATCTCGCCATTTTTTTTGGTACCCGTCAGCCTCATTTGATACTGCCATCTTTTGCTGCTTTTGCTCCGTTTGCTCCCCTGGTGCGTGTTTTCTTGGTTTTCGTTCCTTGTTGTAATACCTGATGCTTTCATTTAGTAATTATAAGTATCCTCATCGCCCTCAATAGCTCCAGTCAACCATCAACTCCAACGTTCAAAGCTCTTCCCCCCGCACTCATCATCTGAACCAACAGCATCAAAGCTTTCACACGTCCTTCCGGCTAAATCTTCCCCCTCAAGACCAATCCTCATCACTCTCTTCATTTCTCCATCAGAGTAGTCGAAATGCATTCCTCTGCTTTTACCATCGTCTTGATGTCCGCGCTGGTCGGACTCATCCTTGGTTACCCAACTTTGACGTCCTTTTCGACCAGACGATGGCAGGGAGACTGCCCAGCCCAGACCACATACTATGTCTGCGCTGCCAACGGCTTCAGGGGATGCTCTGAAATTGATGCATGTTCTCTCACCGCCAACCAACTTGCCACAAAGATGGCTGCAGCTCCTGTTCCGCAATGCACGCCAGGCAGTAACAAACTCTATCAACTTTCCATGCACAACATCGACCCCAGCTCACCAGATGCCGCCAGCACCATGAACGTAATCTCCCTCTCCCAAGATAGTGACGGCACGAATGTTCACGAACAGGTCATTGTATTTTCCGGTCTCCCTTCTACCGCCAAGAACTGTGTGCTGATGTGGTCCGTCGGCGCCGGACAAATCTTCTACTTGAACGGCACTGGTCTCACAGACGCTTACGCTCTCATAGGGCCCATGCCGACTTCAATCACTCACAACACGGTGGATCCGATCTTGGGTAATATAATCGGGAACCCGGATTTCACGAATTGGAATACCGCGAACCCGAATGAAGAGGTTCATATCGTTGGGGATGTGACTTGCGGTACTGAGATGGCGTTCAAGTTCGGCATCAGTGGTGGTGCTGAAGGATCGGTTCAGCTGTTGCAGAGTGCCGACACCGGGTTTTATGTCGAGTACGATTGTTAGGTGGAACATCCTGCCGGCTAATGGCTTAGTCTTCGGATGCCTGGGATGATCATGTTGTTATGTCTGTTATCTTTTGGTTTTAATTTGATTTTGTTTGCGATAATAGAATGGAGTGGACATGTTTTAGACTTTAGTTCACATGAGTTGGTACACAGAATAGACAGTATAGTTATCGCTGAAAACTTGCAGTTGAACATGTGTTTTCGTCGAAAAGTGTGCTGTCTGCGGCTGATTTGGAGGCTTCGTCTTCCTTGGATGTCTCTGCATACATGATTTTGGTACTACGAATGGAAGTAGACAAGGCATGTGGCTGAAATTGTTAGATTCATAGACATCAAATCCACCTCTTAATATTGGTTTGAGCAACGCGGCAACGAGCAAAGACCTGCCCTAGTTTTCACAATTGATTCTGGACATAATCGCAACCCGAGTCTAGGCCGAGCGGTTATTCTTCAAAATCGCAGCATATGATCTTCCAATGAATTGAACTTTTCTTCAGCCCCATAATCCATCAATATGAGTACTCCGCCTGTGCAAAGCCCTCGGCTTCTTTCCATGAGACCCATACTACATTTTATTGCAGCCTAAGTGCGGAATAACCAAAAGAGCAGGGGCAGATGTATAGCCATTGGGATTTATTCTATAGTTCGTTTCATCCACGCATATGGTTATGGTCGGCTGGTGCGCCCTCTCCAATCACTGATCCATCAACATCAGACGTCTCGCTCCAAGCCTCGAACTTTGGTGGCAATGGAATCACCGTCTCTCCTGTCTCTTTTGAAGGGCCTCTTTCCGAAATTTCCACCCACATCTCAACGCTAATTTTCTCGCGAGTTTGCCACTCCAAAAGCTTGCTATGATCTTTGCATTTTTTGTTTATCGAAAAGTCCGGAAAGGGAAATTTCTGGGTCGCCATCCACTTGTGCGTTATCATATCAGTGCTGAAATCGCAAGTCAAAGTTTGCAGAAGGATGTGGAGGCAGTGCGAAAGGTGGGCTTGATGGTAAGGCTGTAGCGCTATCTTGGAAGTGGCGTTTGAAGGACATTTTGTCTGAGTTGGGAAGTATTCCTCCCGGTAAGCGTATCTGCGGAGTGCATTCAAACAATGAAGGGCGTGTTGGCCGTCTGGCTGGGCCAGGTGTGCATCATCTCCATGTCCCCACGACGGCGGTACTTTTACTGTTTCCTTTGGGTCTTTATCCAGCTTCGCAACCTCCTCGCCAGTGATGATGACCACTCCGATGTCTGTAAGTGTTTTCCATGCATCGTCTACTTCGGGTGATGGGTCTTGGCGAAATAATATGTCATCCTCGTTAAATAAGGCGCCTTGAACAACTTTGGAGATGAATGGAATCTTTATTCGGTCAAACAATGGGGCTTTGGAAGTATTAGTAGAAAATAGAAGCGGGGATCATTAGACGTTTTGACTTGCAGTAGTAAGACATCTGCTTAAGTGAGCTAGTTGGCCGATTCGATGAGTTATAAAACAAGGCCAAAGATAGAAGGAAGAGCAAAATGTTAATAGTTATGGCAGTTCTAGTTTTCCATGTTCCACTTTGGAGAGATTGTTTATACGAGCTATTCTAAACATGTTGTCAATATGTTTATGAGGTCTGGTCGAATAACATACTGTTTCAAAACTCTCTTCCAGTGTTTCCTCTTTCGGCACCGCTGAGTACGCTCCTAGGTTTGACGACTCAATATCTTTCATTTTGCTTGATATTGTTTTGCCGCGGGATAAGATGTTCTAGTGAGATGTTGTTGCAGAGTCTAACGTTTTAGCAGATCACATAACAGGCTCGATGACGTGATGAATAGACAGTTTTAATATGCCGTCAAGGGTGCATCAAGTGGATGCACATATTCGTGTATCGTTAAGGCGAGCCCGAAGACACCTTCCAAGTATGGTTATATTTATAAACTTCAGATGGCTTGGTCTTGTGCGGGTCGCACCGATATACCAGAATAAGGCTCCCGATTAAGCGGGGTAATAAGGCGCAACCATTTCTAGTAGTACATAAGCTTATCACTACCGTACTGTTTTCTACAAATGTTGTAGTACCTGAGCTGTTACAATGATAAATATTGTTCAAGTTTACCGAGCCTTAATGTCTTTCTAAACACTTGACTCGATATTAAACTCAGCCAACAACTTTTGACCATATAGCTAGCATTGATACCAAACAAGATGTCGTTTTCAACTTACGAGGCGTCAGTTAGTGCAGTCCAGTGCCAAGAATGAAATTGGCGACAGGTTACCTGGTTACATTATACGGCGAAGCCTAGAATGAATTGCATCATCTTTTGACCCCCCATTTGTCAGAAACGAAGCGGAATATGTAAGTAATCCTTGGCAACAGATAGTATTTCACCTTCTTATTATGCATTAAGCTTGTCTTGCACTTGAGCCTCTACTTTAACAGGACCACCTGCACGAAGCACCCAATCCAAAGCCCAAGCGATTTTAAGCGAGGTATACACAACCCCTTTTGACTACACAGGAGACGTAGAGAGAACGGTGATTCGTACACCGGTTCCTATACGCCACATCAAACATAAAAACACCGAGGGAGTGGAGCATGAGCTAGATATTGACCTTGACACTACTCGTCCTCGTGATTCAATAAAGATTTGTCTTACCACATGAACAATTGAGTTGCCAAGTCTTGAGCAAAACCAAACAGGAAGGTATCTTCAATCTTTTAAGAATATGATAGGTTATGGCCTCGGAAATGTTTAGCCGGTACACTCTCTCACGCCATTCTTAGCTGGTCTTCGGCTAGCCATCACTTGCTTCATCGAACTTAGCTAGGTACAACTCTGACATGCACTTTGCCGCGTTCCTTTGACGTCCCTCTCGTGGGAACTTTTACTGCTAATTTTCGGTCCTACCTGACAGCGAGATTAGAAGGACTCAACTAGACTAGGGGCTAGCCTCGTCGAAATTACCTTTCTTATCTTGAACTTCCTTGTCACCGAAGATCAGCACGCAATTGGCACTTCAGAATTATCCACTCTGGGATATAATATAATACATCCAACCCCCCACCCCGATACTCCAGGTAATAGAGAAGAGTAGCGTTCAAGCCTATCTCAATTAACACCTCACTTACCCTCAAACTTAACAAGAAAGACGTTCTCAAATCCCCACAATGCTTTTCGCAAAGCTATCCTTGGCTCTGGCTGCCATGAGCACCATAGCAGCCGCAAACCCTTTACCTGACGAGAAACGCGAGCCAGCCCAAGCGTACGGCACTCTATGGAAAGACGAGCCTACTAAGGTCGCGCGTGAACCGGCGCAGGCATATGGGACTCTTTGGAAGGATTCTCCAGAAGAAAAGCGTGAACCCGAACCTGCTCAGGCATATGGTACGCTTTGGAAGGATTCCCCAGAGCCTACTAAGGTCGCGCGTGAACCGGATCAGGCCTATGGTACGCTCTGGTAAACAGCTTTACTGAATGTCAGTCAACTTGGACTTTAAGTATGTTCCATCTTTGTTTACTACTCCTCTCGATTTGCGCTACTTGACCTCTGCCAATTCCAAAATGATAATCAAGAACTGATTCGCAAATAGACTTGATCGAGACATGGTTGAGAGTTGAGATTGAGATTTCTTATGTGAGAGGACGAGCATATATTCGGATCCAATGCTGATGGTGCGCTTCGTGAACTATTGGGTTTGCGTATAACTTCTAGACCTCACTCTCGTTTATGGTGACCCGCAGGAACCTATGCTGGTATGATTGCGAACTTAGAAGTTTGAAATGACTATTATAAATTCGATGTCACGTTACTTCAACAACCCTCTTCGATGTGACACTGAGAACAAATCGTAGATATAGAAGTCGCACGTGATATTTCATGTATCCATCTCTTGCGAGCATTTAAAGGCCAAAGGATAGGGATCTGCTTGTTGCAGATCGGTCATGACGTCTGGCGTTAATTAGACTTGAGGACCATTCAAGTCGTAAGAATAAATCCATCGGGTCCAGGTGAAAGGGATGTGAAATGCTTCTGGAAATTGTTTTCGATACCTCCTGGAGACTAACAAATCTTTGGGATTTGGAGCTTCAAAGAATACCCCAGTGGTTCTTCATAGTGTATTGAAACTTTAATGAAGGCCAGGCAACATGACCTTCTGCTTCAATCAAGATATCCAACAAGCAGTGCTGCTCGACAGGATCGGTGAAACGCTCTCCGCCTAGACCAAAATATAAGCTGCTTTCCACAAATCTTGGCAACCTAGACCTACACATTGCAATAGCCATGCCTGCAGTAAACATCGCGGACAAGAACAGGCGGTTTGAGATAGCAATACCACAAATGAACCTGACTTGGTCCTTGATATTCTCCTTCAAGAAATGTCAGCAGCTGCACGTCTTGTTAATGGTTTTCTTACACCTTGTTCACGATCCGCCGTCTTTCTTTCGATTCCCAACTGCGGTATTTGGGGATTGTATGACAGCAGAAGGATACGACAGATCCCGAGGTATTGATTCCCAGCAACTACACCGATCAGCTCAAAGCTATCCAGGTCGTGGCGAACCTACTATGGCAATCATTCAAATACCATTTTTCCGGCAGTATTTTACCTTTGTTAGGTTCTGCCATCACATCCTTAATCGGTGTAAAGGAAGCAGGTTTCAAAGACTCCCAGTTGTCGACATAAGAATTCAGAGCTTTCCACGCTTCGATAACACGGGGTTTGTTCCCGTAGCAGTAGTTGAGGATATCTGCTGTATGAGCAATTATTCGATGTGCCCATGTCCAGTCGTCAGCTGCGCTGAAAGTTCGATCGATGTGACAGTAGCCAGCTAGTGGGCGGAGAGGGCGTTGCGTCGTGAATGAGATGAAGATGTCTTGTCGGAGACCAACTACTAGGCAAGCTTCTCTGAGACTTGATTCTGATGCCGGTTCTTGACGTGCCCGGACAAGGAAGTGTGTTCCGAGGATATGACCTTGTGTTGTTCCGATCGGTTCTGGAAATTGACTTAGCTTATATAAAGTAGCACTGCATAGGATTCTCCGACCAGATAAGTCTCTAGCGCAAGGTGAACGTACCTGTCATTTCATCTAAAAGTCGCAGAATGATCGTTGCCGCAAAGAGATTCTCGTCTAGCAAAGATTTCTGGTCATTAAGCGCTGGAATTAGCTTTTCCAGACAGCTTCGTTGGTACTTGTCCGAAGCATAACGATCAAACTTCCCATTCAGACTCATGTGTTTCGCGGACACAGCAAGGATGGCATCGAGCAAGGTTGAATCAGATGCGGCAGCGGGAACAGCAACAGTTAAGAAGTGTCGTTTTTTATCGCAGTAATCAAACTAGTTTTAGTCTCAGCGAGGAATAAAGCTCGACGTTGAACGTTCTATGACCGAGTCGTGTGGAGAAATATCTTGCAATATTTGGACGGTCTGTGATTACTTACCCATGAACATAGATCAGTTACGAAGTAGCGCAGGAGTAGAGCACCTTCGTCCGGCAAAGGAAATAGACATGAACTAGCTTGGACTATTGAAATATTCCTCGTTAAGCCAATATCAGACGAGAATGTTCCAGACCATGGCACATCGGTCGGATGGTCAAGGTTAACATGGTAGCTTCTACCCGACGTCGCTGATGCTGGACTCTGCTCGAAATGGTCAAGCAAATGTAGCCTCGGAAGGGTGAGTTCTGAGATTGAAGAATGTGATGACTGAGCTGGACCTAAGAATATTCCCTCATTGAACTCATGGTGTGCTGCTGAAAGATTTAGAGGCGTGCTTATGTTTGGAACCGCTGTTGCCTCCACCTCACTTCGGGATTGGGAACATGTTGGTGTAAACCCCCCTACTTCAAAAGCTAGCTCTTCATCGTGACTTGATGAACCACCATCATCATTATTATTCAGATAATAATGATGTTCTTCATCTCGATTTACATCCACGAATACGACTTCATCCTGTCAGCGCTATTGGCAAATCCTGCATAAATCATTGACTGAATATTGTGGAAGCCAATTTGAAAAGGCTTAGAACTCACGATCTAGAGACACGGGAGTCCAACACTGATCTGTCTTAAACTTTGGCAAATCGGCCTTCTTTCGACCAGGCTTTCTGTGAATCCCGGGATTGTGGTCGTGCCGAAAGATGTATTTGGTTTTTTCGGTACATGTTCGTCCAGACTGGACGCATGCAGTACACGATGGCTGCAAACCGTCACCTGAAATGTAAAGTGAGTCGGATGGATGAAGTATTTATACATTACTGACCACTTACACTTTAGATGACGAGCTTCGCATTCATTACTTTCATTTGCTGGATTAGCTAGACACATGAGGGTTCAGTCAGAGGTCACTTACCACGCACGTCACGCGTCATGTTTTGTGTTGCTATGCTCTCTTGAAGACTTGTCGGACAATGTAGAAGTGCACTTCGGGGGAAACTACTCATTTGGGAGCTCCGGGGCTTATTTATAGAGTGAACCTGAAGGTGGGGAAGGTAAGACGTTCTGCCTGAGGATCGATTCATTAGCTTAGAATAACTCCGTATTAGGTACACGTCGATACTTATCTCATATAGAAATCCGAAAACCTTTACGGACTTCTTATAGAATTTCGTGTAAATATACGACTTATATGACAACCCTTTTTGATCATTTTCTCATGTTGCACATTGATTAACCAATGCTTATATAGTGGATATTCACTTCCTATTCCGTCCTAGTCTTCCCACGAAAGTACCGTAAGGGGCACGGAGTATATATCTATGCAGTAGAGTCTGTCTTCACTATTAAACTTAACTCGCTCTTCCACTTTTATCTATTTTATATCCCAATAGGCTTCCCACATTATGAACATTAAAGTCAATATAACCACTTGCTTGCATCTGACTTGCAGTGCATCATCTTGACGATATGCATCTCCATACATTACTCGCCTTTTGTTTTGCCCTCTATGTAAATATCTTCTACCTAGATATCTAGCTCCCACAAACGTTTAGCAGTTGGAAGAGCTCAAAATTCCGATTTGACCGAATCAAAAATTTCAACTCTCCCAAAACCGTAAATTCCCCCAGTACGGTAGCGGTTTTCGCCTCGCCCAATCAAATGCCTCCTTCCCGCCACCCCGCATCCGGGGAAAATTGCCTCGTTAGTAAGAGGCATCAGCACTAAAGAATTTCTCAGAGGTCACGGAGTAAGTGAACTGTATTGATGGGACGGACGGGATTACATAAGTTGCGTTGTCTCATGTGTACAGGTATAGTAGAGGGTTGTATATGAGGGGTGCTTAAATGCGGAGGAACGAAAGGGTGGTAGAGGGGGTAAAGATTCCCGGCGCAGCTTGCTGGTACGGGTATGTGAAATGTGTAATAGGTAGGTCTTGGGTGTTTGGTGGAAGGAGATGCATTTGGAAGATAATCCCGAGTCTTCCTTTATTCATGGAAGATGGCACGGCGTGGAGAAGGCCAAGTATATATAGAGGTCACCGTCGGCGTCAACTCTTTCAAGCAAGATTCACACCCTTAGATTCCTCCTACTCATCACTCGCAACACTCAAGAAAATGCCCTCCCTCGAAACCCAAGTCCCGCTCTTCGTCAACGACGGCCAGCTGCAGCCACAGAACGTCGAATACCTCAAACCAACCACCCTCGATACCCCCATCGAAGAAATCCGGCGTCGCTACAGGGAAGACGGCTACGTCTACATGAAAAACGTGCTCCCCCGCGCCGACATCCTGAAAATCCGCGCCGAGTATTTCGCCCTCCTCTCACCCAGCGGGGTCCTGAAGCCCGGGACTGCTGCCGTAGACGGGATCTTCAACCCCTCCGGCGACGCGCTGGACTACCCAGCTTTCGGCGCGGGGCATTATGCGGGGCCGAACGAAGGACCGGGTGCGGAGCGGTCTGCGCGGTACTTGGAGCTGGGGCTGCGGGCTCATGGCGAGCCATGGTTCAAGGAGGGGCTGTGTCGGCATGCGGCGTTGTTGGGGTTTGTGGATCAGCTAACGGGGTGGGGTGAGGATACGGTTGTGTTGCAGCGGGCGTTGTTGCGGAATAACACGCCGGGGAATAAGGCGATCGGCGTGCATTATGATCAGATATTCCTGCGGCATGGGGAGGATTCTGTGGTGACGGCTTGGCTGCCTATTGGGGATACGAAGTCTAATGGCGGGGGGCTGATTTATCTCGAGGATAGTAAGTCGCTAGTTGCATATCGGCGTTTGGGATGTATGGTATGGCTGACAAGTTGGAAGGCTGCTCGCTTGGGACAGAGATCGAGAAAGAATTCACGGACAAGGCGAAAGCTGCCGGGATGGCTGAAAAGGAGGCCGAGAGTGCTTTTAATCAAAATATGATGACCGGCGGCATGCTCTCGCAGGGCCCTGTTGGGTTTGGGGAGCACTATAAGAGGAAATGGTTGGTGGCTGATTATGAGGCTGGGGATGCTGTGTTTCATAACGCGTACTCCGTGAGTGAAGATTCGTCAAAGTCCAATTCAAAAGCGAGGAAAACTTACACGAGATAGATTCATGCATCAACGACGAATCATGACCCGGAAGGGAGGATCCGCTTGGGAACGGATATTCGCTTTGCAAACTCTAAGCGCCAGTGGGATACGGTACGTGCTCAAACCCTTTTATAGCACCTAATAATTACTTACATGTATAATTCAGAGGTGGTCGAAAGACTTTGTATTCGGCGATGGCCTTTGAGCAGCCGTGCCATTTCGGTCATGGGAGTCTTTTCCTTGGCAGAACTTCTCATGGGATCGATCTGTTCTGGTGGAATGTATGTAGCTTACCGATCTTAAGCAAGCACTTGCTTCACATACCAAACAAATGTTGTCCAATTGAAAATGAACTTTGCATTCCGAGTCTTAAGGCTATGTCGTCCGACGACGACTGACTGACTCAATGAGAACAGCGCTGCTGCATATAAAGAAGGGCCCGATCGACCAAGGAAGGAATGCCTGCATCTCACCATGATCTATCTCCCATACGCACCATAAATCTTCAAGCAGGAATTCCCAAATACGCCAGATGATCCGACATTCCCAACCGTGTCCAATCATTTCGTTCTGCCTGATCTGCAACCCACACCAAACCAAGCATACCCGCACCATTCGTTGCAGCACATCCATCTCGAGATCTAGCATGAGTGCGGGGAATCAAGAGGATCCACGGGCTCTTGATGACAACGTTGTATGCAATCTTGGCGGAAGCATCCTGGAGGGCTTCGGTCGTCTTCTCCAGTAGTCTTTGATACCGGAATAACAGGTGGGTTGCCGTGGAATGCGGTGGAAACCGCATAGCCCAGTGCTTGAAAGGGATGCCGGGGACACTCCAAGGGTCGATATTCAATCTATCACCAGGGAGTGTGTCCGAATCGGGAAACAGATCGGAATCCGGTTTTGGTAAGAGTTGCAGGTGTTTATGGCCCTGGGATGAGCCGGCCTGTTCGCCGCAGTTGTACAAGACCAGCTGTTCTGTTTTCATGGTTTTCATGATTTCCAGCACGGCGGCGAAGTCTGACAGATCCAGGGGATCGGTTTGGGGCTTGTATTTATTTGTGTGCAAGACGAGTAAAGGTCTGTGGACACAATACATGCTGAGCTCAAGAGTATGGTCTGGCCCAACGGGGCTGAGGACAAATTTGGGGTCGGGGTTGACGAAAGGTCCAATAGCTTGGCTCCGTCCAGGGGCATCGGCAGAGAGGATTGGCTTTTTCTTGATCCCTCCTGAAACGCGGAATTCAAACTGGAGTGGTGAGTCAAAACTTCTGTGAGGCTATGAGGATCACTATACCTGGAAACCATTGTGCTCGATGCGCTCTGATGTTGACGGCTGATAGAACAACTCCCCACGGGCTAGCAGGTCATCAAATCTCTGGAGGGCGCGTTCTTCAAGATCCTGTGGCAAAGAATTTGAGCTCATTTTGAACCAGTATGATATTCCGAGGTTAGATCGGGGTGGTGAGAACGGGTTTTGGACTTGAAAGTGCTTGATGTCGAGTTAGTTAGAAAAAGGTTGTATCACTAAGCAGTGTCTATTAAGTTTCGAAGAGTTAGACGTTATGAAATGATGAAATAGTCACTCGGGCCTATATCTGCACCGTGCACCCCAAAGATCCACTTAAATCGTTGATTTCTCACTGGAATGAGGAATGAATTCTCAGAGACTTTAGGACTTTCCACTGTGTAGGGCAGCTTAACCATATGCGTGATGAAAGCGAGGGAATGTCAGATATGGGAAGACCTTCAGTCAAAAGCGGAAATAACTGGCCTTATATAGCTGTAGGCCCAGTTAAGCTAGAGCGGAAGCGATCAAGGTGATTAAGTAATCTCTCCACTTTATTTCAGGGGAAACTGCCACCAAGCGAGAAGCAAAGGACCACAAGTCTACTCCCAGGAATATCTCCAAAGACTTGAGGCCGCAGAATCCCCAACTAGAAGCGCTTTGCCTGTATTCGCTGAAAAGAATACGATTCTCTCTATCTAGATTAAGTCCAAAGAACTTGCCACTCACTCATCGCAGCCTAAATAAACAGCAGATATTAATATCTTGCAGAATCTACAGTCAAAGTTGTTGCTGTGGACTAGTCACGCGATATATATCTCTACACTCAAATATCAGGATTATTTGGGTGCATAGCTATAGGATAAAGCTAAAGACAATATATAGGATTGGATTACAAGACGTCTTTGCAATTAGACAAGACAAACCAACATTCTCAACACGAATCCTCCACAGCAGATCCATCATCGGTATGCACAGCACCTCCAACATCTCCCTCTCATCCCATTTCCAACCCACGTCCCACAAACCCCATCCGGAATCCTCATAATCCCCTTCTCCTTCTCCCTCTTCTTCTTCTTCCGCGCCCCCAAACTCACACTCTAGCTAGACATACTCCCAATCACCTCGCCCGTCCTAGGCAGCACAACACTCCAAATCCTATCCTGGATCTCGCTCGGGAGAAGCGCAAAGCGATTAAAACCCGGCAACATATCCAGCATCTCGAGCTCCTCCCTCGTATCAACACACATTAACCTCCCTTCCCTTTTCTGCAATTGCAGATGGCGTATAAACTCATACTGCTTCTGCATTTCCGCGTTTGCTGGAACAGGCAACGGCGTTAGTAAGAGCAAGAGCGTCGGTGATGATCTAAGAACCCATGTCTTGGAATTGGAATTGGAAATACATACATTTCCTCTTGGCGAACAGCAGAGCCATATCTTGGTCTATCTTGGGGGTTAGTAGATGCATATGCCAGGCACAGGTATATATTACTAGGCCAGCGCAGAGCGTTTTGCTTACAGTGCCTCTCCATATCTCTTCGGCCAGCACAACTAGCATCCCACCACGCCTTCCGCACCACGCGGCAGTTGTCGAGCGGATAGCCCAGCGTCAGTAGACTTGCACCTAACTCATCGTTCTCGTTCGTGGTTCCGCCCGCGGGTCCATGGTATGGGTTCTGGCTTGGGTATGAGAGGGGCCTCAGCGTAGGCGTATGCGTATGCTTTGGCATATTAACCCTGTATTTTCGGCTTTGATATATATTGAGAATTAGGCTTGGTGGTACTAAGCAGATGTCGTCAATTGTCGATGAGTGATGATAGAATAGTGTTTATTCTTGCAGAGAGTTTCGTGGATGGTGCGGTTTGGGTTTGGGGAAGAAATATTCGATGGCGGTTTTGAGAGAAATGTATAAGTGGAGTTTTTAGTAGTGGGGATACTTAAGTACCTAGGCGTGTAGATAATTTTCTCGGGAACTATAACTAGCCAGTCCAATTTGATATTTTGTATTGTTTGGTAGCATTGTGTCATTGTTAATTGTTCCAAGACCCCAGTTTTAGCCTAATATAGCGCTCTACGAAACACATCTGTGGAACCTTTGATTCGTTAGTTAAAGAAATGTGAGTCAGGAAGTTTATGGAATGGGTGATCAAGGAAAATATTTTAGTTTACAGAGTTTATTGATAAAGTCTATTACTATACATAATAATCACTGCATAGCCCTCAAGTGCATCTTCCTCGAAAGACTAGCATTATCCCAGTATATGGATATCTATTGCTATGAAATCCCAGATATAATTTCCCAATTTCCCAATCTCCCAGTCTAGCCCAGCCCAACCAATTGTATGTCTGAACCGTAAATCAGAACAAATGACATATCATCCCATGGCCTCGAAACCCCCCCATAAATAATCATTGTTCTGTCACATATTCATCCATGAATGCCCGGACTTGACTTTCGAGCTGTTCCAAAAAGTCTTCCTCATTCAAATCATTCACAAATCTCTTGAACCGCTCTTCTTGGGTATAGTATCCCATTTTTTCCATGATTTTCATCCCATTGAATATCGGAGGATACATCCTAGTTTTCAAAAAATGGAGTGTACTTGCGTCGAGGTGAGGAAGGTAAGTACGAACGAAGTTTTCGAACTCGATATTGCGTTGCTTTTCGTACGATTTGTGGGGCTGGCCAAAATCGGATATGTCGAACATCCGTTGTGTCGTAAGATATTCGATTGTAGGTAACGAACGTTGATGTATGTGCTTCCTATAATTTTGCAGCAGGATGCTTGATAGAGTACATTGTGGGACGCGTTCGAGCCCATTGGGCATTTGCACGGTAAAGTCCTCCTTTTTACATGTCTCTAGTCTCAGAGTAGCGAAGTTGAACTGATAGAGACAGTTGACGACGCGCCATGGAACTTTGCTCCCCGATGCCAGCATCATATGCGGCACAGAATCCTTGATGTCTTCGGTCTCACCCACTAATCTTGATCCTATATGGTAGAACAATGCTAGTGTGAAGCCATCGAGCATGAAGAGGGCGTCTTGGTCGATATTGAAGTAGATTGGATGTTTAAGCCTTTGACCGAACGAAGGTTTGTAGGTGGCTAATGCAATACTACGGGCTTCGGAACAGGCGTGAAAGATGGAGGGGACCTTGTAAAGGGCTCTCAGGTTGTGTATTATAAATTTGTACCTAGATATCGACTGCTTCTGTCCTAGGAATTTTGATGTAATGGTGATAATCTGGGGGTCAGGTAGTGCATGATTCCAGATCATGCATCGCAGTTCGGGAGGTAGATTTACAAAAGATGCAACTGATGAAGTCTCAGACGGCTGGCGGGATGGCCGGGAAAGCATGGTTGAAGTATGTTCTCCGGTTGTGGGAGTTTCTGGCTGAAGGTTCATTACCGCCGTTATTATGTCGTCTGGAGACAGAGCTGTCTTCATTGAATCCTCTTCCAACATATGTCAAGAATGTGTTACGGTCTTGATAACGATGGTGGCGGCATGCTTGCGTTGTGGTGTAAGTGAAGGAACATGGGGGTATTGCTTAAATACAAATAAGCAGCCTCTAGCTTTGGCGCTAACTTGCGGCTGTCAGTCCAATTTGAAAGTTTTTTGACACTTTATGACGCAGTGTGTTGGTAAAGTTTGGTTGCGCTAATGAACTTAGTCGCTCTTTCCAGAACTCTTCCATGCAGCAGCGCCTACCTTGAAGTTGCTACAGAAAATCTAAAGTTTAGTAATTACACTAGTGGCATGTATAATATACCACATTCATTACACCCACGCTCAATCTTCATTAAGCTTTTAAACATTACTACACTTTTCACAAGTCGATACCTAGATGCTGCGTAACTGACTTGCGACATTTAAACCCCCCAAAACAGTCGCTTTGCAATAGCAACATTCTAGAAAGCATAAAATAAGTTGGACAAAATGGCAAGCCAAACACGTCTGACAGATACAAGCTATAATTCATGAATGGTGTTGTTAATCCGAGGGATCAACATCGACTAGCGCCGAACTTCCGACCACGCCATTGGAAATCCCCGGATTTAGAGATTGGCGCGTGGCGTACGTCCAATGCACGATAAGACAGCCGCATGAGGAATAAATGGAGATATCTAGACGACGGGTTAGATTCCAGTACGAAATTTGCTGCAACGTCGCATTCACGACAACCCAAGCTTCACTTTGAGACCGAAGAGACACCATGGGGATATACGGGATTGAGCTATGCCCAGTCTCATCATGTTCATTCGAGCGAATCCGTCCAGTGAGGAACATGTCGATACCTCTAGACTCAGGATTAATTTTCCCTTTCGCTCGTTCCGTTTTAGTCTGTGGACGTGAGCAAGCAACTGCTGCTTTGACCTGAGCAGATGGTGAGCATACCTGAGCCGGGGGTGAGCATGTTGGAGTAGAGTCTGAATATATATGTAATATGGCGCGAGAGACATCACATTTGAATAGTGCTTGTCTTACTTTGGTTGGATGCTACAATGTACTCTGATTATTCAAACTCAATAAAGCCTTAGCTTGTGCTAACAAGTTCTCAAATGAGTCAGGATGAGCTACTCAAGACAGGAGCGGTGTTGAAAGATGACAACACATGCATGAACAGAACTCCCATTGCTCTCGACGAAACTGCCAGAATGTAAGACTTACCTTTTACGTTTGGAATGGTTTAGATTGTGTGCGAAGTAACTGATCTTTCAAATTGGACTAATAACAAATTTACTTTACGAGACTTACTACTAGATTTGAATTGTTATGTCGTAAACTTGCGTTAGAAGAGATCGCTCGTTAGTCCGGTGTAAGTCGGCTCCAGCTGCCCTCGGTTAAACCACCTTAGGCACAGCTCCAAAAATCGCAATCAATTATCGTATCTCAAACTCTTCCGATTCGAGCTTACCATCCTTCCACATGTCGATAGCCTCCCCATCCATTAAGCCGTCAACGTAGCAATCGCTAACCAGGCGGTATACCGAGCCATGCTTCCTCAATACAAAAGGCACTCGAGATCCAAACAGGATAACAACCATATCTCCAGTTTCCATAGCCATTGATGCGCTACCGTGCCATCCTCTGGACGTCTTAAAGAATGCCACACGATTGCAACTCTGGGTAAGGACATCATGGATCCATTCCCACTTTCCACCAACCGCGCGTGCTTTGAGCTTTTCAATAACTTCGTCTGCGTATGGGATCCAAACACTTGTCGACTCCAGCTTTCTCATTTTGTGACTTGGTACTTTGCATCTTTCTCCCCTTTGGTAGCAACTAGTGCAGAGGTCGAAAACGCCATTCGAACAAATATTGCAGTGGTAGAACTTAGATGATGTGGACGATGCTTCGCCGTACAAGCCGCTAATGTAATGTTTGCAGGTGTCACACCACATAGCATCGAACGAGATATAGCTGTCCTCTTTGCGGTTTTGCAGAAGACGCAGAACATATGATGAGAAGTTCGTCAACTGTGCCTGCAAATTAGAGTGGGAGCGTGCTGCGACAGTCTCGGAAGTCTCATTAAGTTGCCAATGATCTCGGGTGATACGCCTTGATATGTCCAACAGAATCTTTTCGACTGAGCCGCTGTCAAGCCCCGTTTTGTGACTGTTCATCGCCGGATATCTAAGGACCGAAGTCGTGTCGACGAGGGAACCCAAGTTGAGCCCTCGCATGGATAGAGAATCCACAGTAGCATTCAAGTGATATTCGAGATTAGATCCTCGAGCTGCGTCGTAGAGGAACGGTAAGAGGACTGGAGTGGGTTGATTGTTGGAGATATCCCATCTCGGTATCCACGATGGCCAAGAGCTGCTATAATGTGCTGTCTGCCAAGCGTAGCAAAGTACCTCAGGATTCTGGTATTGTTGAAGAGATTGTACAGCCACTTCACGGTACACTTCGTATGTGCTCATGCCATAGTCTGCTCGAAAATCGAGATGAGTATTACGTGTCTAGTGATCCGGTTAGTCGAAAAGACTGAACGCATGACAGGATTGGCTCTCTATTCAAATCAGACTTTTGGGATTACTCACGTCTTGCGGTCCCATGGGATGATGTCTCCTCTCAACAAGTTGTCCATGCTCGCCAACGACGTCCTGACTGATAACATGATGTATCATGGCAAAGACCTTATCTCTGGGATCCGTAGACTGAAGGGGCCTGGCCAGATGAAGAAGCGCCAAGAACGGAGCTTGTCTTCGCGTTACCAGCGTTTTATCCCACATGAACTTCGCATTGATGAACCCATCGTATGAAGTAAAACGTTCTTTCTTCCAGTGTGCTGTGTAATTGTGGATCGCTCCAAGCCAGGCCCACGATGCGGACAGGGCTATAAGGTCCCATTCAATCTCAAGGTCACCACAGAGGAGCCAGATGTCAAGGGTTTGTCGAACTTCTTGAACGACCCAAACTCTGAAGAACCAACCAGCTTGGTAGAAATGCCAGAATGAACGCCATTGTGCGCGAGAAAATTCTCCGGCTTTGACGGGATAGGCTTCGCTGATCATTTTCCCCTTTCCGTATTCAGCAGACAATGTCGATAACCAGGTAGCTATTGATCCACCAGGATCACACCGGTCGTGAATGCGATGCGCAATATTCCGAATCATTGCCAGGACCTCCACGGTATCCTCATTGCCAGGACCAGCCCACACGAAGACGCGAGTGGCTTGCTGATAGATCTTGTTCATGATTGAGACTTGCTGATTACGTTCTGGGATATCATCTTGATTTATGCATATTGCGTCGGCCCAGACAAGATCCGGCTGATTCTTTCGACGGAGGCAATGCAGAGCAGCGTACAGATTCTTCGTGACAGCAAAGGCCTCGCCATTGCATGTCAGTTCGGTAAGGTCATTTGCATCACCCCAGCAATAGCTGAGGGCGTGATATCGAGGTGAAGAGGAAGAGTCCGCGACGACCTCCAGCGAACATGATAACCTTTCATTGTCTGCTCCGGGATGCAGGCGTAGTAGCCTGATTGATCTCGCAAACGGTAAAGTGGCGTACAAAGAAGACTGCGACATGTCCAACTAAAGATTTGAGGCGCTGTGCAATGTTCTAGGAAGTCGCGGAGGCATTGGAGAAGCAGATCAGAGCCAAGTTGCAATCAAACGAGCCGATCGATGTCGACGGAACGAGACTATGAACTCGAAAATATTATTATTTTAGGCAGCAGTATCTTAAATGCAAGGGAGGCTACTGTAAGGTAGGCAAGGCTGTGATGGAGCAAAGTAAGGTATTACACAGAAAGTGGAGAAATCACGTTACCGTACGCACCCATATCAAGCTGGATCAGAGGGTAGCAAGGCAAGCTTGGATGTAGACAAGGCTTAGGAAGCTTGAGACTTCAGGCTGGAGAGGCCAGTGAAATATCTGCTTAGTGCAGGTGAGGCTGTGTGATGGATAGGTCTCTGATTCATGATACCGATGCATCTAGGGGCGTTCGCAGATGGTCGAAACCTTCGTTGGGGACAATCAAGTCCCAGGAGAGTTCGTGAGGCTCTGCATGGCCCAGACTAGATAAATCTATGGTCCTAGTGAAGCTGTATAAGACTATCCAAGTCATGGTTTGTGGTGGAGGACTTGGGTGAGGTTGGCATTGGCTTTTCTTATTAGCGACCCGGTACTGTACTCTTAATGGCGTGCCAAGACCAGCTTGTGCTTCACTCCACTCCACCTCGTCTCATAGTTATTTCATTCAACAACACCATTTCTAGAAGACCGCAAGTGCATGGTACGTGTAAATACCTGCTCTCATTTGACGCTGCCAGAGCTGGAGGGAATGGTTTCAATGCAAGGGTATCACTACAAACATTGCTAGTATATGAATCCAGAAAGAAGTCTCCCAATCTGCTCACCGCTATTGTTATCTCCCTTTCTTTTAGCATAATTATATGAGATGCTCCTATATCGAAGTATGACCTCGCAAATCAGCTAGATGAAGTAGATTTTCTGGGTGGTTGAGCACCATTCAACACGTTCTGGAAGAGGCTCAGCCTCACCATTCTATTGAAACATCTGTCAGGTTTCTATGTATCTTGTCGACTATACCGTCATCTACTCTCAAGATCGGGTTTCAGTTGAACCAGTGTAGCTAAAAGCTCGGCCATTGTAGAAATTAATATCTGATGCGAGGTCTATGCTTCTCTACACTAGATAAGTAGATAATTAATAGATTCTTAGAATAATAGTTATAATAAGAAAAAAGAGGTATATTATATCTTTACGCATATTCTATAGGTATTCTCTACACTGGATAAGCTCTGCTAAGAGTGATCTCTATAATAGATGAGCTTTAGCGAAAGTGGAGACTTTCTATAATGGCCGAGCTTTTAGCTATACTGGTTCAGCTGTAAGCCCCTCTCAAGATTCAATTACAACTCGAAACTTTCATATCCCGTGATGTAATGTGTTGCAAACTCTTCTAATGGTCAAAGAGCGCTGTCCGGTGCGTCAAGAGTTAGTAAGCAAAGGTATATATGAATGAAAGAGTAGCCTGCAGCACATATCTCCTGTGAAACCAATTTTCATTAAACATTTTTCCACCTCGCTATACTTTTTGCTAATTCCCTTTGTTTCCTAATCCCTAAAGCACGTCAAGCGTCAAGCCCCCTCTCCCTTTCAACCCAGACCGATCCGCAAAGCAATCAAGCAATCCTCATATCCAATCCACTCCACTCCACCATTTAATTCGAGCAAGCCAGGAACCTCTTCTTCAGCAAGAAACCACAGGCACAATCTGCAACTCAGCAGGCTGACACGTCGTACTACTAGTACGATACAACTGCCCCGGCACCCAGTTGGGATTTGTCCAAACATCTTCCGAACACTCTAGAAGCGCCTTCCCACTCCCCACACCTTTCAGCTGATCTCCCCTGCTCACAAGAATGACCGAATTAGCTTCTGATCTCCCCTATCGCTTTCCTCAACTCGCGATCGATCCCCTTTCCCCAAAAATGGTTCTTTTGTTTTAGATTATTGAAAGCAGAGATACACTTACGAGTCATCCTCCCAGCTCTGACTGACGTTAAAAACCCCCGCATCCTCAAACGAAAACGTGGTGCTGGTTCTCGCAGTCGCATTATCAGCGCAACTCCACACTTCCCAACCGGCACAATACACGCCGGGGTAATCGTGGCATGTAGCTGTGCAAAATGTGGATGTGGATGTGGATGGAGACGAGGTATCGATAGCGGTGTTGTTTAGGGCAAAGGAGATGCTGGCGCTGGAGGTGGCGAGGTGGGCGGGGGTGCTGTAGATGTAGGATGCGGTAAAGGTGATGTTGGTGAGG